TTTTTCGATATGGGTTTCGCGTGTTTCGGTATAGGAGGCGGAGGGGAATGTTCTCCCCCCACGCATCCCTTACTCGATGTGGGTTGTGCGGCTTCAGCCACGCTAGGTATTGGATGTAGCGCCCCGCGTCGCTCCCAATTTCTGCTTGCTCCGATGAACTGCTTCCATTCCGTGATTTCTACGAAGTCTTCCCCATCAGTCCGCCTCTGACTCAGTAACACGGGTTCACTGGACTCTTCATCGTTGCTATCCTTCTTCTTATTACTGCTTAAGAGGCCACCCATCGTTGTCGTCCGGAATTTTCCTCGAATGTTTCCTGCACCCTACAAATGGTCAAAACCTCGCCAACGATGCTTGCTGCTCGCGACTCGTAGAATTACGAGTACCTAACCGTCTACCGTGTCCGCATTCCCTTCAGTGGGTCGCAGAGCGCCGGATTGGCGCCCAAACCGGCTTTCGAGCTGCTCCTTGGCGGGATAAGCAGGCCCCGGCACTTCCCGGTCGAGTTCCTGGTTGCAATAACCGCGGAATTCCCCTTTTCGTTGCTCATTCGAGCTTGAGGCTTCTACAAGAAGTTCGAACAGAATTGACTCCTGACGAAGTCCATACGTGCGCCAGGAATTTCCGCAGAAGTTCCGTGACGACTTCGAAAATTATCTCCGATAGTCCCAAGCCGATTCCCTTCCTCAAATGTATCCTTGATGGGGTGACGCCCCCAGTTCGAGAACATTCGAAGTCATCGGTGCTCGTAAGTCCGTTGAAGTCCCCATTAAATACCGGGTGCGGCTACGATATTTAATGGTTGAATATCTGGTACCATATTTGATGGTCGAATCGCCCCATGGTACAATATTTGAGGTGCTCCGAGCCGACAAGTCGTATTAAGAGGCTCCCGCCTACAGTAAGCGGTCACGATCTGAGCTCAATCAATGATGTTCGGTCTAGAGCGACTGCATACATCCACGGTTTGATTGCGAAACAGATCTCCTACTCCAGCTTTTTTCGCTTCATGCACCGTCCCTGAACCAAGAGCACCGATTCCATCAGTGAACAATCAAGTCGAGAAGCGTCTTGGGTTGAGGCGCCTCCCAAACCGCAGACCATTTTTCCAATTCAATTCAGAATCTATTTCATTTAAAGGGGCATAACAGTACATCATAACGTGTATCCAACCCATCATTTTCAGAGAAGAATATACACACACTGAAACAGCCTACGTGACACCTGACGCCTACAACGACCGCGCCATGAGATCGGATTCGAAGTTCCCTTTCGGAATAAAAACAATCACTCAAATCGAAATTAATATCTTTATTGATTGAAGCTGTGCCATTCATTCGGTGTTTTCGGATCTCTGATAGTCTTTTAGGAGATTGAGTCGTTGCTTCGCGAGGTAGGGCCCTAGAGCGGCGGCGATGAGCAACGGATATTTCATGGGATCAAAAACGTACTCCTTCTGCTTCTTCGGGGGGCCTTCTTCCTCCATGAGATTCCCGATCCTGTACTCTTCGAGCACGTCCATGATCTCTGGAGTGTGATGTTGTGCGAAGACGTCCCAGAAGGGGTCGAGAGGTCCGCCGGCGGCCATCAGGATAGTCTTGCCCCCGGGATGTTGCTCAATGAAGTCTGTGATGTCGTAAACTCCCTCACGCCACGACACCCATATCCGGTCTTTCTTCGTGATGTGCTTGGAAATGGTTTCGGCGGAGTATTCCTTGTAGCCGAAAACCCGCTTTCCAGGAATCCCTTTCGAGTACGTTGCGGCCTGGACCGGATTGTTCCTCGATCTGTAGTACACGGTACCGCCGAAAGCCGCTGCGAAGACACCGAAGTACCAGAACGACTCACGTTTGGTATTGCTCCCCTCTCGTTTTCCATCTTGTCGTTGTCCGCTGCTGACATCCATCGTCATGAACGCGGATCGTTGAGGCTTCATGCTCCTGAGCCTCATCTTCGCGACCAACAGCTTCGAACACTGCATTTTCCGATGTCGACGCGACTGAGCGACAGGAGAGCACTCTGAGTAGAAGTAACACACGAACGAAGAGAATCCGATGCGCTGAAGTGAAGCTCCTCAACTGACACGAGCTTCTGTGCTCGAATAAAGCATGAGAAGTGGAGAGGATTCGAGTCGAGATCTCGACCGGACTTTCCACTTCGCGACCCGGAAGTATTTCGTCGAATCGCCCGATTGTCCTATCGTCCGGACCTGGCTCGTTGTTCGAGGAGCCGAGGACCACGGCCCCTGTCTTTCAGTGAAATTGCGAACCGTTTCGATCGTTTCACTGACACGCTCTCAGTTCTCTTAATTTCTTCTTCTGCGAGAGCAGCCGCGTCGAAACAATCTGCACCCGCCGGGAGCGGCTCGAGAACTCGGGGCGGGAGGCTGAGTAGAAACTCGCGATGAGCTATCAGGGAGTCCGTTCACGGATCGCTCTACTCTCAGCCGGGGGCTCGCGAAGGTTTTTGAGAAACCACTCCAGATCGAGGATTCTCCGAAGAGACCCGGAAACTGTTCACATTAGCCACGGCTCACGATCAGAGTTCTGCAGACGTGAACGCTTCGAATCTTGAATGTCAAAGCTCGCGGATACGTAGTCCGGGGTACGAGGATCTCGCGGTGCGCCACGGGAGGGAGGGACGCACCCCCTTCTTCAGAGTCATGTTCTTCTCGTAGTGCGAGGCTTCATCGAGCTGGGTCAGGATGAGATTTCGCGTAATGGGACCGCGTTAGAGGCTTTCGATCTGCCGCTGCGGAGCTCCAACAAAGATCTCCCGAGCTCTGTAGTCTCGACGCGTGTCATTGAGGGGGCTCCCGAGCTATCGAAGACTCGCGGCTCCGATGCCGGAATAGGAGCGTGTAGACCTGCTCTCCCGAGAATATTTACCCCTGCAGGCACATGTAGCGTTCTGGACGTTGTCAATGACAAAAATTCCCGTACTCTCCAGCGACTCTCGGGGAAATCAGAGGCTCCACAGCGGGATTCGCTCGCTCCAAACTAGAATGAAAATCCACGCCGGATTCGTTGAAAGACGCTCTAAGATCTAAAAGGCGTCGAAATCCCAGGACCACCGGGAATAAAGACAAATTCATAAGAATTTGCGTCCACAAAAATTTATGGATAACTCCGACGCGGTCCGCGTCCCCAAAGCTCGATAGTCGAGATTCCCATCATTAGAGCAAAATCAGGACCGGGAAACCGCCACTGATTCGCCCGCGCGTGAAATCGACCGTTATGAATAGCGCAGAAGAAGTTTCGATTATTTTTGGTCATCGTCATTGGTCCGCCATTCCCGTACTGTTCATTCTTGCTGCGCACGTGCATGAGTCGCCACCGGAGTCCACTTCACGCCAAAGGAGCTAAGCTACACTACTGACGGTTCATCAAAGGCACCATGACGAAATTCAATGAAATATTCTCGTCCGTCGTGAAGTATTTTCGTCCGAGATCCGCGCACTCCGATGATTTCCGCCTGGGTGCGATCCACTACAAGATGCTCTTCGGTCTCCTGATCGCGTCTTCGCTCTTGACAGGATTGACCGCGTGGTATTCCCAAATCGAGTGTCAGGAGCACAACAAGGCCTCTTTCGATGCAAGGTACGATCTCTTCGGAATGATTCTGCCAGTGCGAAATATCATGATCGTCGATTCTTTGCAGGGAAAATGTTCCCCCGAGATGCTCGGACATCTACATGATTCCATGAGTCTCTCGCTTTCAGTCTCGTCAAACAGTGGTGCTACGCGAACTCGATGTTCGTTGTCGACTACACGAACGCGGGCGAGCCCTACGGTATCAGCAACTCTCACCGTGCTCAGACCAGCAAAGTCGTGTTCCTGAAGTACTACCAATGGGTGACGTTGGCACTCTTCATCCAAGCGGTCTTGTTCCAGGTATGAAAAAAGTATACGTGAGGACACGAGCTCGATCGAGATTTTTCTTTGTTGCTTGTTGAGTTTTTGGAGACTTCTGAGATCACTCTCTTCTGAGATTACCCTCGGCCATCCACTAAAATCGCACTTCCACGTATATCTAACGTTCCCCTCCTTTTTGTTCACATCGGAAAGATCCCTCGTATCGTATGGAAATCCATCGAAGGCGGACGACTCAGACGCATGACCGATCTCGTGAAGAACCTTGAATTCGTCCCCGCTGGAGATCGCACCGCAAAAGTCGCTTTAGTCGTCGATTACTTCATGCAAGCACCGAGACGCCACCGCGATCGCAATTATTTTTTGTATTGCGCCCTCTGTCAGTTTTCCTACTTGATCATAACCATCTCGCAGATTTACTTCACCGATGCTTTTCTGAACAGGCAATTCATCTTTTTGATGCCTAGGTGGTTCCTGGGGGAACCGATTCTACAGCAAGTTTTCCCGACGCAAGCGAAATGTTTGTACAGAACCTACGGAGCCGGAGGGGATCTCCAGAAGCACGATTTTCTTTGCGTTCTGGCGATGAATATCCTCATAAGCAAACTCTACCTTCTGCTATGGCTGCTGCTCGCGATCGCTCTGATCGCCGCCATATTCCAGACGATTTACCTCATCGCCCTCTGCTTCTCAACCAGAATGCAGCGCAATTTGTCGAGGGACAGAGAATTTCTGGATAAGCTCTCGTGTTCGGCAGGAGATTGCCTCTTGCTCAAGTTTTTCCGGGAGAGCATTGACTGTGTCGTTTATGCCGAGTTCAAAAAACTCGCCTCGTTGAGGGCTGAGGAATCTGGGAAGCCAGCTGAGGGGTAGAAACTTTGAGCTTGATGGCCAGCTGACCTGGAAAAATCCAGGGATACGATCCAGCGCTGCCAGATAGAGCAGTAATCGTCGTATCCGTTGATGAAGCCGAAGGGGATTTCACTTCGATTCAATCCCCCATGTCTTTGAAGCGTGTGATGTACCGGCACAGTTCGCATCCGGGTGCTGCCTACTTGTCGCCATCGAATAATTATGATCATATATCTGAGGCCCCGTCTTCTGCCCTATGCCCCCCAGGATCTCTTCATTGATTGGCGAACAACTGAAGGATATTGATTCTGAGCTCGCGGTTCTATCTTCTCTAATTCTCCGGGGAACAAGACGTAAATAAAGAATAAATTCTGTCCATCTCTCTTCCATGAATATCTCGGCTTGTTCCATGAGAGAGTCGGTCTCGGACTTGGAATGATCGATTATTATGCAGCATGCAATATACATCAATCCGAATTCCCTTATAATTTGAGTAGGTTCACGCCATCGGAGCTCTACCGGGGTTCCGGGGCGCAGCGAGAGAGAATAAAATGCCCCTATTGGATCCACGGGGTTCAAGACTCTGGTCATAGGATTATCCATGTGAACCTCGGATGTTCAGACGAGAGACTACGCGCTTCGATTCCGTCCGAATCCATCCGATTCCGCCACTGCCTGCGCGCTGGCCATACTTCAAAGACAGGCGCACTGCCGGTCGGTGTCGTCTGCTACTTTGTCCATTTTTCCTCCAGTTGGAGGATTGGACCCGAGAGTTGAGCTTCCCACCAAGCGTAGTCCATGACGTCAGGCCTCACCGCCGTGGGGTTCAGGAAGTTTCTGTTGCATCTTCAAGCTCGACCCGCCTGCTGGCAACTCAACTCATTGTGAGTTTGCCCTCTCTCTCGGGTTCCTTTGTTTACTTCCGACGGGCGGCTCTCCGCCAGGTGTAGCAACAACAGACGGTTTTCGAGTTCCTCCAAACCGCTATCATCCGTGACAGACGGATTCATACTCGCAGGCAGACACTCAGTGAGTGTATCGCTGATCGATCATCGAGACGGCGGGAACCGCTTCGTGGCCATGTCGTCCGGAGTCGAGGGAGACGTAGCCAAAATGGAGTTGGGCGACGAGCAATTGGTGACTCCCTGGAACGTGGTTGCCAATTCGAACACCGGTATCGATTACGACAAACTCATCGGTGAGCTCAGTGTTCTGACTGTCAGCATGATGCAATCCACATGTGAATCAGACCGGAGTCGGGTATGGGATTTGAGGGGGAGGCGCAGCTGGGAATCCGAGAGCAATGCAAATCAGCATTTCGTTTGGAGTGAATATTCGTGTACCTATGCCCTCCTGGAAACCGTTGCTCCGTTGCCGGCGACCTAGTTCCGGAGAAACAAGATCCGGACTCCTCAAAAACGCGTCAAAGACAGGCGTTCGGGGAATATTCCTCTCGTCGGAAGCTGACCTCTGGGTCAATTCACTCAGTCTTATGACTTGACCCACTTCTGTACGGGAAGTTCGCCGGGTTAAGTTGATCGGTTTCTAGCGATGCAGATGACTCGTCGTCAAGAAAGAGCTTTCCCTGTCCCACGAAAATTGAAACTCGAGGTTATTTTCCCTCCTGTGAAATTTTCCCTTGCATTCGGATCGATATTGGCGCGAAATACGATCCCCATGAGCAATGAAGGACTTGATCGGCTCCTTCCCCATGATTTCCCCACGAAATCGCCAAGGATGTGTCCTCCCGCCTCGCACAATTCTTGATTGAACCTCGATCTTGCTTATTTGATAATGCTTTTGCTGCTCCGATCTCTCATAATCGACGCAAACTCAATCAACTTCGCCTTCCAGTTCAATTCGGATCGCAGAAGATCGGAACGGAGCTCATCGATCGCTTCGAAAAGCTTACGGGACGGAAGGCGCATCACTTCATCAGACGTGGGATCTTTTTCTCGCACCGGGAGTTCGAGAAAATTTTGGACAGATACGAACAGAAGAAGCCATTCTACTTGTATACCGGACGAGGTCCAAGCAGCGATGCGCTCCACGTCGGTCACTTGATCCCATTCATTTTCACCAAGTGAGTTCCGGAGAGTGTGTGCGCGGGAAAAAAACTTCAAAAATCGCCGTGTGGTCTACCGCTCCACTGGCTGTTCGTAGACGTAGGCGATAGCGTCGCTCCGATTCGTGATAGTGGCACCGTACCCTAGTTCTGATAAGGCAATCGCTGTAGAGATTACCCGCATTCAGGGCCAAGGCCAAACCGGTTGCTTGGTACTTCATCAGTAGGTATCGGAAGGATGCCAGGAATGGGCGTATCTCATAGTAAGCGAATATAGTTTCTGGGAATCGTTCCTTTCCTAGAACGCTCCTCTCCGCGATTCCACTGGACCCACAAGCTGACGTTTTACTCGTCGTTATAAGATTCATCGCTCGTTACAGGTGGCTGCAGGAAGTATTCAACGTACCATTGGTTATCCAACTTACGGATGACGAAAAGTTCCTATGGAAAGATCTTACGGTCGAGAAGACGTTGGCGATGGCCAAAGAAAATATCAAGGACATCATCGCTTGCGGGTTCGACCCCGACAAGACATTCATTTTCTCCGACTTCCAATTCCTAGGGTAAAGGAAAGCGAATCCAGGGAAATTATCTCAGAATCATTCGGGGAATCGTTGAATCAAGCTCTCCAGTGATATTTTTCCCTCAGTATCGAATCCCGATTTCCACAGGCAATGCCCGGAGTTCTATCGAAACGTTGCTCGGATTCAGCGGCAAGTAACCTTCAATCAAGTCAAAGGGATCTTTGGTTTTGGTGGTTCCGACTGTATCGGGAAAATAGCGTTCCCAGCCATTCAAGCCGCACCCGCTCTTTCGAATTCGTTCCCCTTCATCTTCGGCGAACAGAAGGATGTGGCCTGCTTGATTCCCTGTGGAATCGATCAAGATCCTTTCTTCCGAATGACGCGAGATGTAGCTCCGAAGTTAGGCCACCCGAAACCTTGCCTGCTGCATTCGGTCTTCTTCCCGGCGCTACAGGGGATTCAGACAAAGATGTCGGCCTCCGATCCGAACTCGTCTATATTCCTCACTGACACCGATAAGCAAATCAAGAGTAAAGTCAACAAATATGCCTTCTCTGGGGGAGGTGCCACCGTGGAGGAGCATAAGGAGAAAGGTAGGAGATCCATCTCTCGCTATCAGAAATCATTCAGGTCGACAGACCCTCATGGGCGGCATTTCGAATAATAGAGCGTCTATTTTCCCGCGTAATCCTCGTGGATCAATAGTTCTTTATCGAGGAGGCTAATTCTATCGTTTCTCTGGATCCTTCCAGGAGGAAACTGTGATGTGGACGTTAGTTTTCAGTACTTACGATTCTTTTTGGAGGATGACGACGCTCTCGAAAAGATCCGAAAGGATTATACATCGGGAGAGCTGCTCACGGGATACCTCAAGAAGGATCTCATCGGTGAGCCCACACTCATCCCTGCTAAGGCTTATCGATCCGTCGAGAAATATTTATACTCGGGGTGGACGGTGGATCAACCACAGAATCGAACATGAGACTGACATTTCGGAATTTCAGAACTTCTCCAAAAAATGGTCAAAACCCACCAGACTGCCCGGGCGACGGTGACGGACGAGGTCATAGCAAAGTTCACTTCGCCTCGATCTCTCAAGTTCTGAACCTGCCCTGCTAATTTAAATAAACTTGAACAACCAAATCTCTAACAATGATGGTTGATGACTGCAATACAACTCTTTTCACTGATTCATACCGAACTTCTTTATGTCATCTCCGTGTTTCAGGTCAACGACGGTATATTTTAACTGTTCTCTATTTTCACCACTCGCATTGTATTTGGCCAGGCGTTCCCCACAGAAGGCCAGGCGTTCCCCGCAGAAGGCCGGCGTTCTTCGAGTGTCTGCGGGTTGTTAAGGAGACGTAAGACCAAGAGATATAGGGGATAGGCGCAGTCACATAGGAGAGTCGGATCTCCTCAATCCGATGAGGATCAGAGACGTTGAATAGTTTGCCTGCTACGACGCGAACGCCATCTCCGCCGTTTCGGCGAGGCGGTTGTTCAGTCTATATTCAGGTTAGTTACCGGAGTATCGATGTCCGACGACATACGACGCAGCCCAGAACTGCTCGATTTCGAACTGCTCCGGGGAAATGACCCATGAGACGATTTTCCGAGCGAAGTGAGCTCGCGTTCGATGAAGTTTCTAGTTTTCTATTCTTCTTCGATTCAGTCACGTTTGCTTGGATAATTCAGAAAGAGGAGGAGGAAGTATCCGGACCCAATCTTTTGGGGTCTGTTTCAGCCCCTGGGAGTTTCTCAGAGCTCCCGGAATCGAGATCGCTCTCTCCAATCGTTGACGCAAGTCGAATATCGATTGTTCCCAACCTTCAGCGATACAATGACTGGCGAAGAATTGACTGTCGGAGCCCCACGGTGGCATCTCGTTTCCGCGATGTTACGATCGAAGCTGATACTTATTACCTCGCTTAGCGATAAGCCAGTGGCTGCAGCCTGATTATTCTCAAAACAAGTCAGTGTATTATTCGAGGAACCGAGAATTGGCCCACACGACTGAAAAATTCGCCCATCAGAGAAGTCGATTAATCTACATCTGCAAGATAATATCCATTAGAATTTTTTTTCCTCGAGAAGAAAATTTCCTTTATTATGTACAAACGTATATTATTTGCATGACGGCACTCAGTGGGCAGTTCTCAATGAATTGTGAACATTGAATAAATTATAGCTAGGAATAGGTATTCTGAGAAAACAACAATCTACTTCAAGCTGGAGTCATGCTACCAGCAGCGAAACCTCGAGTTCCACCAGGACCTCGCGGTTGTCGAATCGCGCAGACCGAGTTTCGGACAACGTTGGTCTCACTTATGGTGAATCTCCTTGGTCTGGGCTCCGTGGATTTGAGCTCATCGCTAATTTTCAGTTCTGGTGCAACTCTGCGTTTCGGTTCTCTCTGATCGTGGCTGAAGGACTGGGTTCGCGTCTTCAGCTCCACCGGTTGTGATCGATCTCTCCACGAGAGCAACGTCGTTGGGACTGATTTCGCAGGCCGTCGTTTCTGCACCTCGGAATCGGAGAATGTGCGTCGTTCCCGGTTGACGATTTTCTCGACTTTGGTGACCGCTTTGAAACAATCTCGGAGCAGCAGCACTTCGTACTCGGTCGCGACTCCCAGAGCCTTTGTCGCCGAACCGCTCTTATCGAATTCTATCACAGCACAGGTGAGCTGCCGGCACTTTGGGTAGCGGCCGAAGACTTTTTTCATCGCTTCGTCGACTTGTTCCCCAGGTTTCACGAGCTTGACGTTGACGAATGCGCCGCATTCGCCAAAAGTCTCGTGGATCGAATCGAAATTCGGGACGCGATTCTCAGCGTAGGCAACGATCGTTCTGGCGGGCCTGGTCTCATCTTCGACGGGGATCGCGATTTTCCGGCGCACCTTCGAGCCTTCGGAATTTACCTCGAGCAGCTCCGAATTTCTTAGGGCATCCGCGACGACGTGCCAGTCGTACCCTTTGCACAAGGACTTGACTTTCCGGAACGATGACATGAGTTTGAGCGACAACCATCCCTCCTTCGATTTGGTCACATGCTTGAGAAGGAACTGATCCTTGGTGACAACTCCATCAGACAGGTAGAACTCCACCTGTTCCCGGATCTTGAGCAGCTGTTCGGAGCTCAGAGGCAGGAGCTCAAAGTCTTCGGCACTCTCGAAACCCGAGTCCTTGCCCGGACTCGAGCTCAGGAGAGTTTCCTGACAGTTCACCATTGTAATCCAAAGCTGGGCAGCTAGTAAACTACACGTGCGCTCTCCGTTCTTTTATAGCGACCGCGAGGCGAGGGAATAAGTGGAAAGCCTCGCTCTCCGCGCTGATGTAACGCCGAGCGGCCGACTGCCAGTGAAATACCCGCGTAGTGTAGAGGCCGCGTCTAGAGACCTCTGTTTTGACATGTCCCACCACGAGGTAGGTTCACCGAGAACTCCACCTAGCTCGGGTTCAAGATCTGGGCCCGGATCTGAAAGTCGATAGGGCGAAGTACTAGGTGCTCCGGATAAGAAACTCGATGCGCTGCCGTGAGGCGAGGATATGAGGGAATGATGCACCGTCTCCGGATCAAGGCGCGCGATCGTATGATGACGCCGCCGCAGGGCATTCACCGAATGACAGCGAGAGCGGTGGCTTCGCTGAAGGACTCCAATCATTTGATAGTTCGCACTCGGGGCCCAAAGGAGCGATGAATGACCGATCTCGCAAAAAATTCCAGCTCGCCATTCCCAGGAGACCGCATCCTCGGAGCCCGGCGGAAAGGCGTAGTCAACGTCGACTCGGAAGCTCATGCTGAGAAAATGCGATCCATGTCCTAGCGATGATTCGCCGGAAGCACAAAGCTTGAGCTACTGCGAGACGGAGTCCCTCGCATGGCGATTCCGTTCCTGATCATGATGTCATGACACGCAGTTGACGTTATTGGTGGCCGATAATTTTTCTCCGGAGGAGCTCAACGATTCAACAGAAGCGCAGACAAAAAGCGCAAACAATTATTGAAGCTACACGAACGAAAACACCACGGCTTCGATGACCGCTCGCACCGCTGCCCAAATGCGCATTCTGTCCCACTGCGTTTCTGAAACGCTCTCTCGAGATGAGTCGGAGGCAGCGCATTAGACGTTTTGTGTCGCAACAAGGCCATCGGGGGCTGACTTCGACTGAAATGTTCCAGACTTGCTTGGATAAGTACGCGCTGTTTTCGAGTATCCTCTAAAGACTTCAGAGCGAAATTTCAAAACTAGTACAAGAGCCATCAGACATTGGGCCATCGATAGTGAGCGTTCTACTCGTGGTCAGGTCGTTGAACTCGAGCACGCAGAAGGGTTTGCCGCATTCAATTAGGCGGAGACGCTCTCTGTACGCGAGCGACGATCTGCACGACCATGCTGTCTACAGCGTAAGCCAAAAGAAAGCACAGGTCTCGCTCTCGCGAAACAAAGCCGCAGCTATCAGAAAAGTCTCCTCAGGGAGATTCTCTCGGAGATTTCCGACCTAATTGCAGGCGTGATGCAACGAGAAGCTTCCTAGCAAACCCATCATCGTACGAAGGAATCGGAGTAGGATGATCCTTCTAGAGGATCTATGAGCCACGCTTCGCGTTGCGTAATGTGCACTTGACAGTGGTTTTGAATGTCCTATTAGGATCATCGATTTCGATTCGCATTCGATAATTCTCGCGGAATAGTATTAACCGGAAGTTTCTCGAATTCGACCGACTCGGGGCGAGACGATCCTGATCTTCTGGCAGCGAACTACGTGGTACGTGTTCCGAACCTCGAGGCAGACTTGTTGATGTGGAAAATTTTTAGCCGTAGTTGAAGCTAGTCCAAGCGAGATTTCGTGAACTTCATGGCTAGATCTCGTCGAAGCTACTTTCGAGTCCATCGTGGAAAGAAGGTACAGATCGATTTCCTAGGCCAGACGGTGTCGAAGTCGACGACTCGCGTTGGAGGCCGACTAAAAACGACGACGGGGCCTTGGATGAAAAATAAACGACGTCAGAAACCTTCGCCAGGCGAACGTGAGAAACTCGAAGGTAGCGGACATGTTTCCGATGAAAGTTTACTGTTCAGTACTTGCGAGGGAAAGAGTTCTGACGCGCAGTGAGCCTTCCCCGGGTTGACTTCACGCTTCGCTGTGACGATCGACATCTCAGAAATCGCGAGGTCAGCTCGCGTGTAACGTCCTCAGAGCAGCCGACATCGTGGAAACGAGTTTAGTGTGTAGTGTCTTTCTCCGTTCCGCTCTTCCTCGCACCGAGTCCCTCAGTCGTCAGAGAGAAAGCGAGACAGCTGTTGTTCGGAGAAACTACGCTTCTCTGAATTGGTTTTCCCGAGAGGCGGTGACGTGCGATGATGGCCGGCATCAATGACAGTGTTGTCAAAGGGTTTTTCTCGAGTTGAGAAAGTTTCAGCTGAAAGACCTTTGAGCCGTATTAATCTGGACGTCTCAGGGTAACTCGCGCGAATCCAAATCAGCTGGGTTCCTCCAACTGGATGGAACTCTGAATGAGTCACGGCGTGTCAAGAACCGTTCTCTGTCAGGAATACGTCCGATGACGTTGCATGATGATCCACACTTCCCGGATCATATCCGATGCGAAGAAGTGCAATGCAAACAATTCAGCTGTCTTACGTTATTCGATCTGAACAGCGTCGAGCTCCCCGAGTCTGACCATCGATTTCGGGCGAGCGAAACCTTCACGTAGTAAAACCCGAAAAAAAACAAGCGTCTCGGCGCCGCCACGAGCAAAACAAGGTTGTCTCTCGAGAGGTTCGCCCGGTTGACTGGCCGCCGAGCGACCGCGGGCTAATTCACCGCCGGTCAGCCGTCCATTGGCACCGATATCGAATCAGCTTAGAAACGATTTCATCATATTCGACGGCATCCGCGCGCGATGACGCAGTGCAAAGGTCTCTGATGCCCGTTGCGTGGGGCCGATGTCGCGCGCCCAGTTGCCGAACTGTCAGCAATGAGATCAGCGAGCCTGTCGCGCGCTCCGTGCTGGCTGCAGTCTACGTCAGCTGTCGCCACGTAGACGTTAGCTCGTTGTCTCCAAGCAATCGTACGATGCTTATCTGACCTTAGCGAACAATCTAAACATTCGGGTGACATCCCTCGTGCATCGAGGGTTTGCCGTGGCGACGTGGATGATTTGATCTCCCAACGCATTCCTTGCAGGTGACGAGTCGCGGGAAGGCGCAAACGTTCGAAGGAAACCCCGTCCCGTGGACGACGGAGGAGAATTCTCATCCGAAGCTCTCGTTCGCTAATCCAATGAGGCGCTTAACATTTTTTCGTCTCTTCCAGAGCACGGAGTTCACGGCTCACACAGTGAACGACTTGAGCTTCAGCCTAGAAAAACAGCAGGTTCAAAAAACAAGATGAGATGGACCGTTTTCCTGAAATAGGCTTCCGTTGCAGTCCGCGCGCCGATAAAGATGACGTCCTCGTTTTTATCTCGATTCGCTATTGGTAGTTAGCATAAAGAAACTGTTATTGTGATACCACTGGGAGCTGTGAAAACCGCTGACGGGCAACAGGCAGACAGTCGCCAAAACGTTCAGCAGTCTGAGCATAACAAAAATAAGCTCTTTCCGGGAGTCTCGGACATGAATGCGTACCTTGAGCCCTGGTTCCGCATTAGCGTAACATCGGGGACCGGATACGCAGCGTGGAAGTCTGAGTGAACGGAAGCGGAATATCTTAATCAGATTTTCTAGTCTCTTCTTGAAACTGATTTGCTCCGTCCGTTTAGTGGTTCCGGGATCCCAAATCGCCATCCTTTTGGGGAGCATGTCGATGCGGTCGCTCATTCTCCCGAACGGAACAAGAATCGCCCATTGCTCGAGCCTGGAAACCCGATTCGGATAAGGAGTCACAACTACAAGCGATCGGGGGTTATAGGGGATTCCTGAAGGACTATTTGCGAATCAGGAGCCGAATCACTTCATTCTGACACCTCTTGATACCGAAGTCAGCGATCAGATGAGACGATGCATCACATGTGGGGCTGTCGGTGGACGTGAAGGGGGGAGGGGTCGAGTGATAAGGAAGACAGCAATGATGTGCTTCGATATTCCCTTCAAGGAGAAAATAATATCAGACTGGACACGGAGACGCTGCTTCATCTGAATCAGATGATGCCTTGAATGATCCTCCGGACAGTCCGATGACACACGCCAACTCCCTACCCATGGACTCGGGGATCGAGAGGGTTTTTCCCGACACTCGCGAGCCTCACATTCGCGAAGTTTTCGTGATCAGAGAGATCGTCCAGAAGGATCCTCTCAATTCGTATATTCAGATGTCCGCTGTAAGGCGGAATGGCGCGGCGGCTGGAGATTCCTCTTGAGAAAAGGATCGAAGGGCTCTTTCGCGTGTTCGCTTCACGTCTCGGCTTGGCCACGCATCAAAACTCGACTGCATCGCAGATAAGGGGACTGGAGAAAAGGTCGATCGATCTCGCGAAAAGATCTTCTTTCGAGGTCAGCGATGCCCTCCTCGAGCAAAACAGCTCGCGTTAAGGATCATTCTCCTCTGGTATTCGGCCGAAAGAACCGCCAAGGACATATTCACAGGATTCGACGTCAGGAACGATAAGCGAGTTGGAAGATAATGTTTTAACTGTCGCTCTATCAGTTTACAAGCGACGGCCCCGGACGTGGCCCGGCGGGAAACACGTGTCTGGATGCGCGCGAGCTGAGACGGAGAAAACACATCAAATATCGATGACGCCTGCGAGAAAGGATATTGGAGCGAGCGCATCGGAAACCGAGAAGAGCTATCGATGATCACAAGTAATCAGAAAGTGAGATGAAAGATGATGCACTAAAAGCTGGGCACTTTTTTTCGCTTGCCTTGCATTCCGTCCACGTAGTCCAGGCGATGAGGAAGTGAAAATGTTCGATGTCATTCTCGCTACTACTCTTCGAGCTCCCGACAGAATTTCGCCGAGTTCCTCGGATGCGATTCGGAGAGCTCGCCGGAGAGCATTCTCCAATCGCTTGGATTCTTCTGTCTGACGATGTTTCTGAGTTATATTGGTTTTCAGATTCAGGAAGAGCGTACCTGCTCCATCCCCGCGTGCGAGTCAAACTCCGGGAGAGAGATTCGTAAACTTTTATTACCAACGTAGTCGACCAGAAACTACGGATATGAACTAGGAGAATCAATGCTTACACTAACAGCTTGTAAGAGACCAATGTAAGAAACTCAAGAAGAAGATATCATCCATCCTTCGGATGAGAGCACAAGACGCGGAGAGCCCTTGAAGTCGAAGTCGAACGCGCCAAGACCTCGGTCCCGGCGATTTCCTCAAATCGCTGATTGAGTTGGCTCTTGGTTCGTCGATTTGGGATTCAGTTCCTCGGTGGGTCGAGGCGACAGCTTGGTCGCTCATTTCCCTTTCTTGAACGAACCCTTGGTTTTCGTCTTCTTCACGGAAGCTGGTTCTTTCTTGATATCAGACTTCCGCTTGACGGCCGGTGTTGATGGATTCGCCTTGAAGTAAGAGTCCAAGCGACCTTGCTGAGAGCTGCTCTTCCCTTTCTGCAGTTTCTTCGCTCCATTCCTGGGATAATGATCACGATATTTTAGTTTGGCGGGACGTCATGCGAAAATCTGCGAGGAATCGTTTCAATGAATCGATGAATGACTTATCGAGACTTCGACACACAAGCCCAATTACCGGATTCGCTCCTCGTTGAAACCGTTCTCTTCGCAGAGGAATTTCACTAGACCCTCTTCATCTGGTTCGGTCCACTTGAAATCCAACTCACTACCGGGAGTGACGTCGGGTTTCTCAAAAAGCTCACGGGCCCGTTCGAACTGCCAGTCCTCGGGCGGGGGATATTTCTGCCGGGAAAAAAATTCAAGACTCACAGTCAGTCGACAAGCGATGATGGAGCAACACGCTCCGAGGACGCTACAACGAACATCGCACCTTGGTGTCAATATTCTTGAGAACATTTTCGATGCACCGATGAGACCTCATGAGCTCGATCGCTCGCTTCGGTCCGATCCCCTTGATCGTGCCGCAATAGTCACAACCCAACAGAATACAGAGATCGATGAACTCCCTCTGAGTGAAGTTCAACTCGGCCAAGATTTTCGGGAGATTGAACTCCTTGATTGGCATCTTCCTGAAAGGCGGAGTCACTTCAGAATCTCCACAAGAGAATATCCAACCGGGCTGTATGTTACAGAGCGTAATGAGTCTCATCGGGGGCTTAAAAGAGCCGGTTCCCAACCTGGTACGACGCTGTCACGGCGGAGCTTCCGTGTCGAAGACTCACCTGGCCTCGCTGAAAGTCATGTGTCTGAGGAGCACGGAGGCCCCGAATGTTAAGCAATCCATATCCTCAGTCGCTGCAGCGTAAACTTTCTGAGCTTTCACGAGCTCTGCGCATTGGGCTTCAGCCTCACAAGGAGCTACGAGGAAGGGGACGCCCATCAAGGCCAGCAGTCGTTGAGCGTCAGCGTTGTGCTACAGCGATAGACATTCTGTCAAGTTAAATTCACTCGAGAATCATCTGATGAGTCCGATCATTGACAGAGGTCATGTCGTCTTCTTCGATCGGACTCACCTGCTTCGATACTTTGACGAGCCTTCTCTGGAACTTATTGATATCTTCTTGGTTGCCAACTTCCGTGGCTTTATCCAGCTCTTTCTGAGCTTCCTCACGGCGCTCCGCACGCTTCTCGAGCTCGCCACTCTTCATGTCGGGGGGTTTCCCATCGAATACGTATAAGGGTTTGATCCCTGCAACACGGGATCGTATAATATCGGTCTTTAGGAGCAGAGCACGAAGGTAAGTATACGTCAGAGATACAGATATCGCGGGCTTTCATGAGTCATGATTTCATGATGCTTGACAGATGTTCAAACTCAGGGCGATCAGACGCTTCCAGCGCAGAAATGTTTCTCAATGTTCCTCAAGATGAAAACGAGCTCAGGGAGCTCACAATCCTCTCGGTGAGTTTGACTTACCGTTCTCAATCATTCGGATCGTTCTATAGAAGAAACCAACAAGGTGTGAAGTCGTTTCCCCGTCGGCGTTGGTCAACATGTTGTTCTCTTGACGAACGGCAATCAAAAATTGGTAGAGACACATGGAGGCGTCGAGGGCTATTTTGCGTCCTGGAAAATATGGGGATAGCAATTCTTAAACTCCCGGTCTATCATGTCGATACATCCGCGTTTCTCAAATCTAAGCCGGGTCAACCTACCGAAGAAATTCTTGATTTCGCCCTCTTTGATGGCACCGGGGGCCACATCCGCGATCAGTTTTGACAATCCGTGTATTCCCATGTCGACGACTTCGGTGAGAACTTAAGAACTTTCTTTGATGGAAAGTATTCGAGGCTCTAAGTTTGTTTATTGTCCGACGTTTGCGTTGGTGTTTTCGCGCCGGATGTCCGAAACGGAGAAAAGCGCGCCAAAAGCGCCTCTATTCGGCTTGGTTGGTTGTGCGACCGAGGGCTGTGATTCCCGCACGAGCGTACGAATAGCCGAGGTAAGGTACGATCTCCGATGTTCACGAGGGACTTGTACAGCAAGTATGAGGGATGAATCCGGAAAAAAAGAATGGAATGACTCGGAGAGCCTGAACGAAGACGATGATGCTGATGATTTTCCTTGTGAGGCTCCGGACTATGAGGCGGTCCTTCCCGTTCTGTCCAGGAGACTCGGCAGATCACCGATGAACTGACGGTGTTCTATGTTCTATATACATTGAAATGCTGTGAATATTGGTTCTTCCGGAAGGGTCTCCCTTGCAATTAAGACATTTTGTTCAATGCTCTCCAGTGCGGAGCTGACGAGGGTTTACGGGGCGAGCACGGAATCGATGCGCTCCGGATCCGAGAGTCGATCAGTATTCCAACGAAGCCCTGGAGTTCCGTGGGTTTATCGTTGTGGCAGAAACGCCAGCCCTCAGCCCGCAGTTGATGCGCGGAATAAGCCTCTCTAGCGCCGGATCGGAAAGTTCTAGGGATGGAATCAAACTGATCTCGCAGTAGGGAACCCCCACATCCGCGTGCGAGAGCTCACCCCCCGCAAATTCCTGGTCTCAGCTCGGAATGGCAATTAGGGAGAGATCTCCGCAAAATCGAGATCTCATTGATTTCATCAGATCCTGATCCGCACGCCCCGTTGGGCTGCGGGAGACACGAGAGCGAATGTATGGAAAACCTGCCTGAGCGATGCCAATCTCGTCACATCGGGATCAGAACAGGAGCTCTAGAAGTGGGATGAGGGCAAGAAGTACAGCTTGTCTCTTCGGTAGATCCTGCAAACTTACTCGAATGTAATGCACCGATTTCCTGTCGCATGGGCACTGGGAATCATCCTCGTCGATTTCTCTTATTCGGAAGCTTCCTGTCGATGGCCGAGTTTCGCGAATACATTGAGAAGAGACGGATCTCATAATTTTTCGAATCGCCGAGACGGAATTCTGTGATATGGCATCATTCGCGATAGGGTGGCTGCTTCATTTATGATACCCCGCATAAGCATGATCCAATCTAGCTCTCTCAGAGTGCCGAGCTTAAAGAGCATTTATGGCAGACGTGTCGGAGCGTTTTCCTGGATTTCAAATTTTGGCGCTTTGCTAATCAAAACACTAGCTGTGCTGCTTCTGGCGAGCTGCGAGGAGCGATCACCGGCTGCCTCTCTGAGGAGAAGCGGAACATTCGCGCAAGAGGGCCCACATAAGATTTGTGAGAATGTTCTCGCTACGGATTTCGCCGGGGGCGCCGGCTCTATTCCGTGCCATGTGTACGAAAGCTCCAGCCGTGGTGCAAAATGATTTCGAGATAAACCCTGAGTTCGTCAACCGGAATCCTCGGAACCTCGAACAGATGCTTCTCGCTCGGAAGCCCTCTGGCTGGGAATGGGATCTCCCATCGCGAGAGTACTGGTATCGTCTTGACGTCGATATAAGCAAGAAGAACATCAGAGGTGAGCCTACTGGGCATAGGTACGCGAAATCATTCCTACCAAAGGTCGCGGAAAAATAGCCGAGCATAACTGAAAATTTTTGTAATCCAATCTCTCGCAGGGAAAGTCTTACACAACGGCGGATCTGCGGTGGTCAAAGCCTACAGCGGGGAATGGGGCATCAGGAAACAGATGATCTCTTCATCGGACACGACCGCGGCCTACAATGTCGGCAGGGTTCTCGGCAGGCGGTGCTTAGAGGCGGGGATATTAGCGGTTCACTACGAGCGCCCTCCGAGAATGGAGAATTCCAAGAAGGTCAGTCGCAGCATCCGATTCCGCAGTTTCCCGAAGCCTTCAAAAGGAGAACCTCTTCCGTAGCGTTGATTTCGCTGTCGCCCCCATTCTACGCACAGAGCATCGGCTACCCGAAAATATGCTCTTTTACAGATCCATGCCTTTTTGAAAGGTCTCACGGAGGAAGGTGTGCCGATAAAGGAGCCGGACGCGCTGGACGAGGTCGAGGATCGACCGACGGCCACTATGTACAGATGATGTGGAGGAAGAGCTCGACTATTTTCAATAAAGTAGTTTGTTTCCGATTCATCGCTTGGAACTCAAACATCAGTGATCAAGGTGGCGCTGTGTCCATTTCGCCTTGACGAATCCTGTATTCTGCCTCAGGATCGTCCGGGATTTCCGGACTTCATTTATTTCGCTCTGCGGGAACTTCCACTAGACCGAAATCGCAGGCCTGGATTTATGATATGTTTCGGGATCGTTGAAAAAAGTCCAATCTGAAGTCAAGTACCATTGCACGGCGTGTCTCCTTTATTCGATCACAAAATTGATATATTCCATTTTTTCCTCGGCGGCCAGAAGGTGGTACTGTACCTCGGAACGCTATTTAACACTACAATCATCACTACTACCCTTATCACTGATTGATAGGAATCGATGATATTGACACGACGCGAACCGTGCTCATAACATTCAAACATAACATTCAAAGACGCATTTAATCTAGTGCAGTGTTCCTCAAAAGCAGCGCAGACCCCACTGACGGCCCCGGAGTCGACTTTAATCCCCCAAAAAAACGAGTGGCTTCCAAGGCACCAGGCGAGCAAGCAACCGAAATATATCGGCAATACATCGATATCACGGCTTGGATGCCGTGGCAGGGGCGGGAATCTCGAGGCCAGGCATCGGATCCAGGAAGGTTCTTGATTCTGATCGAACATCATATCCAGTTCCCTTTTTGTTGTGATGGAGCGCCTGATTGCATCGTTGTCCCTCCGCAGACCTCTCATTCACAGGCTCCGAGTCTGTAATATTTCTCCAACGCGCGGCGTCTCCAATAAGAAGGGTGAGGGATAATAATTGATCAGATATGCAGACGTGTGATGGAGTGTACTTCGGGAGCCAAGTTGTCATAATACTTTCGGAGGTCAACTCATAGCCATGTTGAGGTGCAGTGGGGCCCGTCAGATTTCATGACCCGACGGTCTCTTCGAGCCCCGTGAGGACAACGGGGTCGATGACCGTCCTCGGACGCGAGGAAACGGGGCCTGGCTTGAAGTTTCTGAGTAACACTGATCTAGTTGGACACCGTCTTCCTAGTGACCCTTACTCTCTATGAAATCGATCACAATTTTGAAGTAGACGTATGGATAATACTCGGAGGGGCCCATGTTGAAGCCTGGAATGTCTTCTACAGGTCCGGACGCCGCGCTGTTGTCCAGATGACTGTACGTACGGTTGAGAAGTTCGCGGAGGCGTCTCATCGAACGCTTCTGGGGTAAGAGCAGCATGCCTTGGAAGTTGACGGGTAGCCCGTAGCGGAGCACCGATTCGACGAAAAGGCGCAGGGCCTTTATGTGGATCCATGCGACGAACGCCTCGCCGAAATTGTTGCGAATCCAGCGGGAGAGCAGCACGAGCTGTCGTTTCTTCTCGGTCTCCATCCGGCTTTTCTCGTCTTTTCCAGACTTGATGCTTTCTTCGTTGTATTCGAAGTCGCGCACGATGAACTTCTGGAGACGAGCTTTGTTCTTGAAGTCGTCGACGACCTTGCGGAAAAGCGTCACGGTGAAGAGACCGTGCTCGCCGTCCTCGTGAATCAGCTGAGATGTATCGGGCACGACCATATCGGTGAATTTCCCGTAGGTCGCAAGCCATTCCTTGTAGTTGGCTTTGGGGACCACCACCAGGATGGTGACCAGGTACTCGGAGCCCAGGATGAAGTGTTCCTTCTTCACGAGATCTCCGAGATTCCTCACGAGGAGCGAGCCGGTCTGCTTCCTCTCGTAAGACTGAATGTTCGATTTTAGAGCGTTGTACGCAGAGGATCTCGTCTTGAGCTCGGCGTCGACGATACCCATCTGCTTGTTGATCATCGCTGTTAGCGCCGGCAATGGCTGGTGCTTCGGATATTTGGCCATGTCCCACGAGAAATGAGTCACGTAGGTCATCAGGTCGACCCCGTTAGCCTGTCGGGAGAGGAAATAGAAGGCCATGTTGAGTCAAAATCAAATCTCGCCCCGAAACCGGACTGGTATACCTCCATGGGAGCTCATGGAGAGAACGTGGGCAAACCCGAACCGTTAACCCAGTCCCAGAATCACTCACCAAGAGATTTTCCGCCACTTTGTCTTTCTGGTCTTCGAGGACATCTCCGTAGTAATTGGCGAGTTTCCGAGTCACCTGCTCAGTGAACTGATCTACTTTCTGAAGTTCATCTGACAACGACACCAATTGGTCCAGTGTTCCGACCTGAAAGCAACGATTCACGTTCATTCCAATGGCACGAATTCATTTGTCCTCCCTCGACGCTGGAGATTTCGGAGTTGTGGAGGATCTCGAGGTCTATTCACGCGACCATGTTGATTTACCCGAGAGAAACTCGGTGTTCCTTCACTCACCTTCAGATCGGGGAGATTGAATTTGAAGTTTGTTGACAATTGCTCCCTCGAGGTTGCCTGGTTGAGTTTGTCGAATGTCTGCTGACAGGTCTGCTCACCTGGAGCCGAAATGAGCCAGAACTCGCTCATGTTGACCTATGGGAGATGGATGAATTGAGTCAGAACATGAAGCGGGACTTGTTCGCTGGAGATCTCGCACGGGATCATTTCTTTCAATCAGTCACGTGATCAAGAGCGCCTTTCCGATTTTCCATGGAATAAAGCAACTACCGAGTGTGGTTGTTCCTGCAAGGTTCCCATCCTTGCGGCACACCTCCGAGATCTAGAGCGCCGTTTAAGCTATAGCGAAGTACTCCCGAGTCCAATACCAGCGCGGATCCGACGTCGCAGAACGCCAGATCTTTCAGAACAGGTTTCAAGAACACATGACCATGTCACCTGACTGAGGGTCCGTCGATCCCTTTCCGCCAAAGACGTGCTTCTCTTCTTTCCGTTTCAGAATTGAAAGGGGCGACGGTAGAAAGTGCGTCGGGCCCTAATTTAGACGACTCCGGCCGTTTTCGGTCGAAGAGAGCGCAGATGGCACCTCCAGGGAATGCAGAGAATTTTGACAGGAGTCCTCCCCGCACAGACCACGACTGGCGTTCGAAACTCGCTCACCTAGCGGGGGAAACCACGCTCTGACCGGAGCTGGGCTTCCACTATGGCTCACCTGGGATGGAGAAGAGACTCGGAACTTGTTAGAAGGAGGATGGACACTTCGTTCTATCGTCACAGAGGAGAGCCCGTCTCACTGCAAAGGAGAGATGCATAAAGGATCTCGTGACCACTGCTACAGTGACGGTGATCTCTAACGATGCCATTCAAAGCCAGGGGGCGCTCGTGCGAGTCGATGGCGCCAAATTTAGCCTTATATCGGGAGATTGCGGACGGAGTACCGAACTCCACAGCAATTCTCCGAAGGAATCATCATGATCTACCGCTATACGATCGCGGAATTCGTAGATTCTCGAGTCCAATATCGCGTGTCCGAGAAGTCCGGAGGGCTGAGAACATCTTTGTCGCTTCAATTGGCGCTACGCATCGAGGAGCTAGAGCGCCAGGCTGCTGAGTGCTCGTATCACGCATCAAAACCAGATAAGTGCCTGAGCAAGATGAAGCAGATTTTCGCCTGAACAATCGACTCTTCGCTTCTGAGCTTCGAGCGTGACCTCTCTTGATAAATTCAGTTTGATACCGAGGTCTAAGCTCAATATCGACGGCTTCGCGGACCTCCCACCGAAAGAATCGGAGTCGCGGGAGCCCTCTTCTGGTGCAGCGGACACGGTCTCATTCCGCTTGACTTCCTAGAACTCTTTTCGGACCCCAAATATCTGAGGATCTTGCAATCGAGGTGATTCATATCGAGAGGGACCGAGGCTCTCCGAAGGTGCTCCGAGTCTTAGCGCCGCTCGCCTCACGAGCGTCGGATCTTTGAAAGATCTGGGAAGACCTCATTGGAATCTAATTCTCCGAACCAGGATTTTTCCGTCGGCGTGATCTCGTTGTTCTCAGGTCGAAGTACTTCATCGATAAAATTCTCCGGATCGATGAATTCCCTTGCGGAGAGGGAGCGGAGCTCCGTGTCGATTGTCGGCGAAAAAAAATCTGTTTATTCTTCATTCTTCGAGTTCGCTTTCTGATTCGCTGCCTCATTCACAAAACGGTGGCCTGTGGGAAACCTTGACCATCCTAATTCCCCTGGGTTCCCTCAACAGGCTGTATTCTAAAGAATAGATATCCGCTAATATTCTCTTTCCACACATCGATCCGAGCTGTGCGGTCCCGGTACAGTTGTACATGTTGAAAACACAAGGGGTCCTGGGGTCGGTGGCGAACAGCAGATACTCGAAAGCTCGCCGGTGACTGCATAGTAAGTCATTTACTGGAAAAAAGAGTCGCGTCGTAGGGAAGTCGAACTGGTTGCTCACGAGAAGTGGGAGAATTCCGAATGCCTTTCTGCAAAGGGGGTGCCGACTCACTCGCATTGCAGCCGGGTTGGGTTGTGCCCCCGTTGAAGTATACGTCGAGGTGTCCCAAGGGTCGCATGATACCGAGTTGACCGATTCGTATGTGATTGTAGAAGCCCGGTGCCGATAGACCCGCGGACGTATGCACGACATCGACGTACTTGGCTGTTTTCTGGGAGATAGACTGGTTGAACGTCTCGAAGAACGGGGACGTCGGGTTGAGGGCTGCGGAGAAATCAGCGCTCGATTCATGGACACTCTCCATATATTTGATCCTGTGGAAACCTGACGCATCTGCCGAGGTATACGATATGGGATTGTATACGGTATATCGATAGGAAATCACCCGTCATCCTATAGATGGTCATCCCGGTGAGTTCGTAGAGATGGTCAGCGAAGGAAACGGCCATCTGCGCACCCTCCGCGAAGCCTACGAAATGTATGTGAGCGGTCTTGACGTTTTTCAGGGTGAGCAGATTCTTGCGCAAGACAAAGTTCTTGATGACAACCGCAATTTGCCGGCCAACGAGCAGAGCGTTCGCCAGAGCTTGCGCGTAATCGAAATCCAGGAAGGATTCTTCGCCTGTTTGGGACCAGTCAACCACCAGGACGGAGCGCTCCGCCTGTTGAAGTCACGGAAGGCAAACGTGAGAATGGAGTTCCCGACTGCGTTTCCCGTTGGGGCCGCTCAAGGGGGAACCCCGAGGGGCGCGAGGGGAAGGGGAGGGGGGTGGCAAACGAAGCACTTCGTTCTGATTTATCAACTCATGAACCTCCTGCCGTACGAACTCCCTTCAGAACGTTGTTCGCGACATTCAGAGCCCAATCCGATGGTCCTTGACCGACACCGTGGACGAGAATCATGAGCGGGTGCTTGTCGTCGACTTGCTCCGCCAATATCTTCACACTTTCGCGGAATTCAGCGTGAATGCCCCGCGGATTCGCCCTGATGGATAACAACAAATATTCATATGACGTTGGAACGACGGGACTGAACAGAGGGAATGCTTCGACCTCGCGATCGGAAGAGCGGCAGACCGCATCGCGCAATAATCCGCGCATGTGTCGGAGAATAAACAGATAAGTCACTCGAGCCGCCTCAATAAGTTTTCGGGAAATCGGAGTTACTTGGAGAACAAAGAGAATCTTGTTTTGACATTTTGAGGATTCCTGCTGAGCTTTGCGAAGAGTCCGATGTCCGAAAAACAGCCGACCTCGGCGTAACATTTCGACACGCGAGCGGTGACGCGTTTAGTCCTGAAAGATGACTCGTGTGGAAACAGCTCGAATAATTTGCATGTTGTCGGATGGGGTTCGATTGTACTCACCGCTCGGAATCTTGTAAGGCTCGGATGATTGATTCGATTATCGAATGATCGTCTTGGCAAAACACTAGAAGGGGGAAGAGCAATGCGGAAGCGAGAAATAGACCAAGCTTTCGCTCGGAGATATTCTGGCAGTCCATTCTCCCCCTCCTTCGGCCACAATTCACTAGACCCTGGTCGCGGATATCCGCTGAGTTTCAAGGAGAAGCGACCGGTTCCGGCAGGATCATGATCGAATATCCGAGAATCGAAGGCACCACCTCGGAGAAGGCAATCCCCAGGGCGGTTTGCGATTTTCCAGGGACCACTCGGTCTTAGAGACTATTCGGCGGATGGCGAATGTCTCCCACCCTTTTCATGAGCCTACCACGGGCCGTGATGTTCCCGAGAAGGATCACCGTCACAAGCAGAGCAGAGAAGTGGAACTCGGGGTTTTTACGACTTCTCTCACGATTCTACAGAAGTAGGTAATACCTATTATACACTCCGCCGAGATCAGCCTGAGAGCCATTTCGGGAGTGGCTCCGCTGCCAGGACACGGAATCAAGCGCAGGTTCTTCACGGGCTTCACCGACACAGTTTTTTCTCCAAAGAAATTTCCCTTGCACTCAAGTCCGCTTGGAAAAATGAATTGGACCGCTTGACCCTGTCGAACTGGTTTGCTGAGGGACAGAAGAAGAACTGCTCAGAAGCGGTAAAAATTTATTTTCCAAGTCGATTGAGACGGTGATGTCGTATCACTCTCCCGCAGTAGGGTGGGAAGTGTCTCAACTCCACAATCGCTTCGCCTCTGCCCGGCATCTTAGGAGTTAGGTCAAGACTGATTAAATTCCGCGAATTCGGGACGATTCGGCAACTCCCTTCTTTCCATTCCTCGAGCCCTCCCTCACACGCGAACGACTCGAACAGACAATCAGGCGACCGAACAGCTTTTATGAAATATTGGTGGGCTCTCTTATGGCTGCAGGCGAGTCCTTTAGAATAGAAGGAGCTCGGGTTAGGAGATTATTGAAACGAACAGAATCGGATGTGAATATCATTTGGCATTAACTCACGCGGAAAGCCACAGCCCGGCTGGTCGGTGCCGCCGTTGACGTAGAAGTCGATGTGACCGATCGGAGCGACGACCCCCAATTCCCCTAAGAGAACATGCGTCCCAGCCGACGTATGGATCGCGTCAACAAACACCGCATCCGATTTGTTCACGGAAACGCCGTAATCCTCGAACAAGGGCCTTGCCGCATCGAGCGCTAGGGTTTGAATTTCTTAGAGGCTCGGGCGACTTCTCTATACTATCTGGATATTGTTCCAAATATGTATATCCGAGAAAAAAAAATCCTGAAGCTTCTGCTCTTCCGTCAAACTCACCGGTGATTCTACCGATTAGGAGGCCTTTGCTCAACTCCCGGAAATAAGTGGAGAAGAATTTCGCGACCTGTGCTCCTAGGGAATGACCGATATAGTGCACCACGGATGGGTCCAAGTCGGTGATCATCATCAGAGTATGGAGCAGCAATGCGATCTGTCTCCCCACGAGCTCAGTATTCGCCGCAGCTTGAGCATAGAAAGGCGGCCGGGCACCCTTCGACCAATCGACCACTATGACGGGGGCGTCCACCTGAGCAACCGGGGGGCAGGGCGCAGGACGTTGGAAAATCAGACTCATGTCGTATCAGAGATACCCTCCCGAAAACGTTAAGAAGGACTCACTCTCTTCAGGAGGCAGTGCTTTAGATCATTGACCCAAATTCCTTCCGAGCTCGCTCCGAAACCGTGGACTACGAAGTACACTCGTCTGGCTCCCTCGAAGTAGTCCGCGATGCTGTCGACAGTCTCGTAGGTGAACGCCTTGCCCGACAGAGGGAATCTCCTTCGAGAGGAATGAGAAGGGGCTCGTCAATCCGAATATTTTCCAATTTATGTCACCTCGCATGTCCCATGGAAAGCCTTCGGTGGTGGTGCCGTTCCCTTCTCGCGATCCGACCGGGATATTACCGTGTGTACAAGACGAAAAACACAGACATCTCGTCCGGAGTCTCGGGGAGCGTCTGGGTGTGCCGCAACGGTCCGGTGCAGTTGCTGAAAGAGCCGAGCTCAGCGTAGTCGACGGTGAGACAGTTTGTCCTTGTGGATCGGGTGACCATTTTCACGTCCTTGAAAATATCCTTGAATGACGCATCGTTGAAAGAGACCGTCACTGAACTCTCCAGACCAACCCCTGAAGCAAGCGGTCGGAATAATCAAATGTCTCGGGTTTCAGGGCATGGTTACGAAGACGAGAGGAATGATGTTCGGTAGGAGTCGTAACTCGCGCTTGAAACTGACCTGCGTACGCTAGTGGATCATCATCATCGCCGTCAACTTCATCCGAGGACGGTGATAGTTCGAAACTCAAGTGATAACGGGCATTTATCAGGCCAGAGATCGCTGCTTGCCAAGTTAATAGGTTTAGAAGCATTTTGGCAGACGAAGCTCTTCGGCCGCGAACTTTTCGATGGACTTTCCGATTATTTCGAGCTTCGTCCGGAATCGTGATCGAGCGAATCAAAACTGTCTCGTGCTCATTTCGGGAGCGTCAGACAATTATTTTGACCGAGAGTTCGGAAGTATCATCCACTCTGAGACTTCCATCCCTAAAGAGGAGCGTGCCGCATGGGTCTAGATTCCGTAAGACGCGAATCGTCGCCCCTATGGGACACGCGATTCCCCCCATGATCCACGCCGCGCCATTATCAACCGGATCGAGGACTCAAAAAAAGACCGAACACATTTTTTATTCTACTGCGAAGGCGTCATGTACAGAATGGACTTGAGCTCTTGGTGTCGACGAACTGGACTCCGCGCCCAGGCAGAGCGATACTCTTGTCCAAACTTATCTGGTTGTATTCCCCAGGTACTTTCCGACACTTGCCGCGCTTATATTCCCTGATTCCACCGGCGCAGGCGTAGGACGCAAAACTGCAGTCTGAGTCCAGCTTGACAGCTTCCACGTAATAATCATGCGCGCGGTTGTGGGCACAAGTTATATCTGAAATGATTTTTTTGTTCTCTGTGAGCCGTTTCGATGTCGACCAAGCAGAAAACGAATGCACGAAGAGAAAGAAGACTGACCCAAAAGACTACAGCCGGGCTGGTCCGTGCCTCCATTCACGTAAAAGTCGACGTGTCCAACTTGTCGTGTGACTCCGAGTTTCCCGAGGAGTATATTGATACCCGCCGAGGTGTGGATCCCATCGACGAACGTCGCAGCCGAGCTATTCAAGCAGACATTCTGGACTTCGAATAGGGGTGATGCCGGGTCCAAAGCTGGAATTCCAAATGGTTTGAATAATTACTGTTTCGATTATTATCAGCTTTCGTCGCTCTAGACGCGATCGGAACATTGATCGTTTCCGCCCCGGCCTCGACGGCGTGGCGAGCTCACCCGTGATTCTGCTAATCAGCAAGCCTCCGCTGAGTGTTCTGAAGTATTCGGAGAAGAATTTGGCCATCTGAGCTCCGAGTGAGTGTCCGATGTAATGAGTGGTCCCGGGATTGACGTTCTCTGGTGAGAGCTCCATCAGTTTCTGAAGCACGACGGCAATCTCTCGGCCGACAACTTGCGTGTTCACCACCGACTTGGCGTAAAATGGTGGACAGCTGCCCTTGGACCAATCGACCGTGATCACTATCGCGTCGCTCTGAAAGAACGCTTCGGGGCTATTTCGGATGATCCGAAGTGTCGAGGAGTTCGAGCTGATTCTTCCGTCTCACGGGCGCACTTTTTCGGAGAACTGTACTCACGTCTTTCAGAATATTCCTCCGGAGATCAATCATCCAAGATTCCTGCGCGCTCGAGGCGAAGCCATGAACGAGGAAGAAAAGCATTCGTGGGGCATCTAGAAACTTCGAGGCGGCCGACACGTCCCTGAAGTCGAAGCTGACGCCCTCATCTGGGTTTTGCCTTCAAAGAGAATGTGTCCCATCAGGTTCTGGTGATCTGGCGGGTTCGGGAAACGAGTCTCTGTATTCTGACTGGTGGAACCAGGTCAAGTCCAACGGAGGCCGACCTTGAGTAGAGCGTGAACTGTGTTGAGATCTTGTCGGGCGATTGGGGCTGCCAGGCTATGTAGTAGAAGTACCCACGGCACTTCTCGATGCATCCTAGTCCATCGTAACACACGGAACAAACACCGCAGTAGTCCTCGCTTGGGGGATGTTCCTCGACCCACTGAACGTCCTCGTATATCGCTTCTAGGACATTGACTTTGATATCGCCAGCCAGAGGCCCGGCGGAAACTCGGTCCACGAGCAGGGAAACAAGGAAAACAAGCCACTGCATTTTGACACTTCGCTGTCGTGTTTTCTATGGTCAGTGTCGGGGGACACTCTTGCGATTTAAAGCGGCAGGAGACTCGGAAAATTGGAATGATGCAAGTGGACGAGTTCAATGCGATCACACTCTGATAAATAGAACCCGTTGATCTCACAGCAAGATTATCCTCTAATCGTCATCAAATTGATCAACGTAAGGTTCCGACGTAGCTGTAGAGCCAAGCTCCTTTCTATCTGACCTTCTTGAATTCGCTCCCGTAACGATGACTTTCATGGATTTCTCTGGACTTTTCCCGATTTTATGGACCGCCTCGATGACTCTCGAAAAAATCTCTCCCCACACCGCGATCCTCCGCACACATTCTTTATTCGATCTCACTGATGATTTGATTGGGGTCTCGTCCGGTGAAGCCTCGAGATTCGGCTCGGAAACGCGATCTAGAGTTCAACCAGCTCGGTTCTCATTTCTTTGAGCTATGAGCCTGAAGTCTGTTAACAAGGATCAAAGCTGGTCTTTCATCGGCGCGGGCGATGTCGGGGGCGATGTGGTGGGCCGCACCGGGGGCAGCCCTTGGGGCTTGCAGAACGGAGATCGATCATTGGTCTCCACGATTTGTACGCCACGGCCTATAGACTTCTGCGTGCGATCCAACGTGATGGTACTATCGTAATCCGGGTCCTCGTCGCAGTTCCCGGCCAGGTATTGGTTCAGGCCGCCGATACACGCGAAAGAATCGAATGTACAGTTGGTCGAGCGATCCACAGCCTCGATATAATAGAGAGCTGCTCGCAAACTCGAACAAGCAGCGCCTTGGGACGAGGCTGAAAACCCGGGGGATCCGTGAATTAAATTCGAGAGTGGATTATTTTCGATCCTCGTTGAAAGTCTTACCGAACTCGCAGCCCGGCTGGGGGGATGAGCCCCCGTTCATGTAGAAATCCACGTGCCCTACGGGGTTCGACATCCCGTAGGAGAGCCAGGGGAGTCTCCCTGCCGAAGTGTGAATCACTTCGACAAACCGAGCCATCGAAGTGTTCACATGTAGCCGATAGTCCTCAAAATATGCTTTGGAAGGATCGAGGGCTAGAAAGTGAGAAATCGATTTCAGAAGTCGAGCTGGACTCTTCCAAAAGCGCCCACGGGAGCTCGGTATACGGCCAGAAACAGTTCCAGACCTGTGATCTTCGATATGACGTAATTGTCGCTGATGAGCCTGAAATAATCCCAGAAAAAAATCGCCATCTGCGCTCCCAGCCCGAGTCCGATTAAATGTGTTCTTTTGCTGTGGATCGCTCCGGAAGTTCTGTTCATGAGCTGATAGAGTAATGAAGCGATCTGTCGGCCGATGAGTTGACTATTGCGGACGGCTTGCATGTAATTCACTTTTGAGTCGGCCCCGTCTTGCCAATCGATCGTGATCACAGCCCGTTTGTCCTGATGAGAGTAGGAGGGTGAGCATTGCAGAATCGAGAGATTTGAGTTTCTATATGACCCGTCACCGCTCCAGTCGCTCTCCAGCTTACGTATTTCACTCACGTATTGCAATATTTTATCTTTCAGAGTCGTAATCCACTCTTGTTTAGCGCTTCCGCCATAACCGTGAACGATGATATTCAAGAAGGTTCCATTTTCGACTGATTCTACGGCTCGGTCGACATTGTCGGGAGAAATTCTTATCGAGGGACCCTCCAGGTTGTTTCTAGAAACAGGGAGCTGGAGGTCAAAATTGAAAATCTTTTCTGGGAGAGTCTCCTTCCATTCTCGAGGCACAGTGACGAGAAATAATACACCAGGACTTTGACGTCGATAATTTGAATAGAATGCGATGCCGAAGATGACCACAAGCCAGAGGGAACGGAAATCGGTGGGGCTACTTGAGAGCTGCAGCGTGTGTTTTGGCGGTTTTGACAGTCTTGAATCTCACTCACTTATTGTAAAAACGGAAAACTGTTCTCGCCTCCAATTCATCGGCAGGCAGGCCTTCGAGCCCGAAAGTCTGACAGGTCCAACAGCCGAGTCCGTCGACACATTTCTCGCAATCTTTCTTATTTTTCTTCGGCTCGTGACTGAAGATCCCCTTTGCACGGTCCAGCAGTTTTTGGTAGTAGCCCTTCAGGGTCGCAGACAATGGTACGTCTATGAAGGGCTTCCGAAGCTTGAAGTCATACACCGAGCAAGCTATGTTCGTCATGATATCCTGCTCGTCTTGCTCCGTGGCGAATGAGCAGCGCGAGACCAGCCCCAGAAGGAGGAAACGCAACCACTGCATTTCGGCTAAGCGGAAAGAAAGACTTCAATTCAGATTTCGTCGCAGGGGGTGGGCATGGCCAGAGACTGAGGCCCTGATTCGTAACTGCGCCCAGACCCTGTTATGCAGTCTCATGGATATCGCTCTGAGGCAATCGCTCGTGACTGTCGACGTTCAAGAATGATCCCGGCACTGTATGGCTCACCGCTCGCGAAACGATTCTATCGATCCAAAACTGTACGTCACCTCAGATATTCTGAAAGTATTATTCCGGTCGGGAACGGTTTGCCGTGAGTCAAGTCGCGTTTCGAGAACGGGCATTGAGACTTTACCTAAGATGACATATGAAGCGCCTCCACCCGCTCTTTTTTGAGAAAAGTCTCAGTCTCAACATCGATCGTGACCCAGGATATGACTTGCCGGGCACGAAAGTCAGCCGAAAACACGAGAGATGTGACTTTATATTCCATCGGGCCCCTATGTAGAAGATGGAAGTTTCGATACCAGCCATTTTGAATGTCTCTGTGTGTATGAACTCTCTGGGCCCTAGATTCCATGGTCGTTTCTGGCAGTATGCATGTATACGCTTAATTGCGAGACCTTTGCTGCTCGCCGCAGGATCACAGACATGAGCTCTCCACAGACATTCGATGGACTAGGATGTCGTCAGGAGCTTCGCAGTCGCACGTCGATTATCATCGGCTTCGGTCATACGATCGCATGAACCGGTGTAATTCAGTGGCGGATCCAGGACCCGGGCCCCCGATCGGTTAACATGGGAGGTACAGGAGGATCGAAACTTCATGGGAGGGGCTCCTCGGGCTCCGCGTCAGAAGCCTCTGTAGCCAGAAACAACACGCATCCAGGGGCGGTCCTCGAATTCATGGGGAAGACCGGATATATCTTAGGCCGGCATCGAAAATGGCATAAGATCCTTCGAGACTCTGAAGTTCGAGGCGAGATGTTCGTTGATGGAGGAATTCCGAATAAAACTACATGCTCAAGGAATAATAGCCATTTATCTCTTGGAATGGAAACATATCCAACAAAAACATATTCAAAACTCCCGACACCGGAACATTTCTCAGTAAACTAATTTCTTTGGCTTCTCCCAATTGAACTGCTCTCTACCAAAATGACCGTACGCAGCGGTCCGATAGTATATGGGGTCCTTGAGGCGGAGATCTTTGATTATTCTGCCTGGTCGAAGGTCGAAGTTGCTCTTCACGATTTCGAGCAACTCTTTCGAAGATTTCGTTGAGGTTCCGTAGCTGAAGACAGAGATGGAGATCGGCTCCGCGATGCCAATAGCATAGGACAGCTGTACCAAGCAGCGTTTGGCGAGTCCTGACTTCACGAGAGACTTCGCAACCCAGCGTGCGGCGTAGGCAGCGGATCTGTCGACTTTCGTCGGGTCTTTACCGGAGAATGCCCCGCCGCCGTGAGCGCCCCAGCCTCCGTAAGTATCGACGATGATTTTCCTTCCGGTCAGGCCGGCGTCACCCATCGGACCTCCTTCGATGAAGGTTCCACAAGGATTCACGTGGATGATGGTCTTCTTGTCGAGGTACTTTTTCGGAATGACAGCTCTAACCACCTGCTCGGTGACCTGCTCGCGGAGCTCGTCGAGGGAAATTTTCTCCGAGTGTTGAGTGGATACCACGACAGTATGAACGCGGAGCGGGATAGCCGCTCCGTCGACGAATTTATACTCGCAAGTCACCTGGGTCTTGCAGTCGGGTCTGGCCCACCAAAACGTTCCGCTTCTCCGCAGCTCAGCCAGACGTTGATTCATTTTATGAGCCAGAACTATGGTGAGGGGCATGCACTCGTCCGTCTCGTCGGTGGCGTATCCGAACATCAGACCCTGATCGCCGGCACCGATGGATTCCTCGTCACGGTTCTTGTGGACTCCGCTGGCGATGTGCTGACTTTGCTGTTCTATTGTCACCACTACGTTACACGTCTTGTAGTCGAAACCCTTCGATGCGTCGTCGTAACCGATCTGGTTGATGGCGTCCCTAACTACCTGTTGGTAATCGATGGTGCCGTTGGCCGTGATCTCCCCGGCCAGGAGCACCATGCCGGTTTTTGCCGCAGTCTCGCAAGCGACCTTGGCGTTCGGATCCACGGCGAGGTAAGCGTCGAGCACGGCATCGCTGATCATGTCACAGATCTTGTCGGGATGTCCTTCTCCGACAGATTCAGACGTGAACAGAAACGTGCTGTCATCTCCTGGCAGTTCCTGGTGACCGTCGACCGCGCGTCCGGAAGGATAGTCCCGTCCCTTCGGCATCCTTTCTGTACTGGAGTGACGACGCGGAATGCGCGGTCGCTTCGAAAACGTTTGGACTGATAATGGATTCCGTAGTCTGGGATCGATGTGCCTCTTGGGAGCCCACGGCTCCCTGACAAGAGGTTGGAGCGATTCCCGGGATTTGGTGAGACGAGTATTAGGTGAATAATAAAAAAGAGGGAACCAGCGGTTTGCGTCGGATTCCTGTTTCGTCATGAGCTCCTGGTTTGTGCGTGGGACTTCGCTCGCCTGACGCCGCATTCGATGAAGGAATTTTCGCCGCTTGAAGTTCCCTGCAGGGAATGCTCGGAAATGGCGACTCGGAATTCCCGCACGCCCCGATTGAGAAAAGTATTGGAGAGTTTTCCCAAACCCTAGGACACCTTCTTCACCGTCAACGAGTCTCTTGTCGCCGTGATGGGCTTGAGTGTTTGCTGCTTGAATCGGAATCGCGAGGGAAGATCGTTAGATTGTATAGCGCATTGATCGCTTGTCGCGCCTTTGGGATAAATGGAATGAGATATCGATATCTCTCCCATACTCCAATGTGCTGGTGGCTCCCTCAGGAGGCGGCATGGTCCGTTCCTGATTTTTGAAGGGAGGAAGATGAGGCACGCTATACGAGTTCCACAAACCGAATTGACGAATATGTGGGTCTCATCCAGAAAGTTTTTGGGTGGGTAGCTGGACCAAGTATCCTCGACAACCCCCTTGTGCGCAACGGCTAATGCAATGGTGGAGGTGGAATTGTTTTCACTTCATTCCCGTTGTTTTATTACGCATCAATGGGTTACAACTGAGTCTCTTCTACAGTATTATCAGATTCTACTAAGCCTATGTACACAACTCAACATCAAACAATCCAGGGAGAGAATCAATACAGTAATTGGTAAATTATCCACATCAGTACCATCGATTCCCATCAATTCATGGTCTACTCCGAAGTTCCTCGGATTATTCACCGCCTGATCGGACACCACCTTAGCGCTGGACGTCTCGATCTCATCGATTCGGTGCCTCTCTTCCCTCGTCTCTCTTCGTAAGCTATCGTGATCATCATTCGACGCTGGTGCATCGATACATCCGATTCATATAAGATAACAAGGCGGATTCACGTCCTGACATCCATGCCTTAGATTTCCTGCTACGAAGAACACTTGACGACAAATGACCACGGGCACCGCGGTCATCCCCAATCGGGAAAATCAAGTAAGAGAATTCAGAATGGCAGCGACTATACAATACTTTCTCCCAACGGCGAGCGTCCCCGACTCATTGATATGATGACAATAATATAGGGAAAAATTCTGCAGGAATGAAATAAATCGACTGAACATACATCACAGATCATGCAATTCGAAATCATTCTCCTAGTTCATTTTTCCGCCTTGCCGTTCTATTCTGATTATGAATTTCCTGAAATAACGCCTCATTCCTAATCTCCCATGTGATCGTCACCAACAAGAAAGCGTTCCCAATGATCCCAATGATGAATTCCCTATTCCCAATCGATCAAATCATGAGCTCCCACGACCATCGCCTCAGACTCAACAAGGTTCCTGCACATCACCGACGACCGAGAATACGAACAGAAAATTTTCATTTTCTCAACTACAGCGCCAAACAATGATCCGGCAGAGCGGGAGGGACCGTACTCTGCTTCTTCGAGTTATTAGAAAAGCGGTTCGTCCACAGAACCCACTGACCGTCGATATCGATATCGAGGGCACCGGGATAGCGATGGACACTGGGGAGTGCCGATCTCACTTCCGATGATGTTCCGTCTTCCGAGGTCTTCCCTATGGGTCGGGCTGAAGCTCTCAATTGACTATCTGCACAAAGCTCGAAAATTCCCGAAGGATGTGGTAGAGTTCTAAAACGCTAATTGTAGGGTTCAGATCCTCGAGTTGCTCGTTACCGTCCTCATCGAGTACCGGAAACTCCTTCCGATTCGCCGTGATGAATCCACACCTTCTTCAATTCCCGCTCCACATTCCCGAGTTCGCTTTTTGTCGGCTCCGAAACTTCTGCTCGCTATTGGCTCATTCCAGCTTTACGCGCGGCAAGTGCCTAAAACACAGGCTGAGTGAGATATCGCGTCCGACCGTCCCCGAACGAAGTGAGGCGAAGGCTGTCCCACGAAGGACATGCCGAGGCGTTGATGGAATCCTCTCCTTATAGCTCTCGGAAACGGTCCGCGTTTAAATGAAGTGTTTGTAGTCGTATCGTACGCGAAAAGTGCTGCTGCTGCTGCGGTTCCTGACTTAGAATGCACTAGCGCCGAACGCGTCAAAGTTGGCGAAGCCGTCGTTGGATTGAACCTGAGCGCTACTCGGGTTGCTCGGTGCGAATGGGTCGTCGCCAAGCGGCGGTGGCGGTACAGGAGGTGCCGCCCTAGTGGGTCCTGCGGGCCTACTGGGGGGCGCGGGTCGAGGAGGAGGGGCTTTCGTTCCGCCTTTTGTCTTAGGCGGCAGCGCCGGTGTCGGACTGGCCCTTGAGGCAAAAGGATCACCGCCGAAAGGATCCACTCCACCCGCTCCGGTGGCCGAAGATCCGAATGGGTCACTACCACTCGCGGCGAAGGGGTCTTGACCCGCGAACGGATCGCTCGCGAAGCTCATTTCTTCGGCAAGCTTGGCTATCGCAGCTTCTTTGCGATCATCCCATTCTTGCAAGGTCGCCTGGAAGAAGGAGCGGGGTTGATTCGCGAAAAATAGCAGCGATAGTTTCACAGGTTTTTCAGGATAAAGAAAGATAAGTCAAGCCAACTAACCTTGCTGCTTTCGATTTCTTCGACGATCTTCTTGAGTTGTTCACTCAACTCTTTTTCTTTCGGATCTTCCTGATCCATGGTCTCCTCGATAGCTTTCTTCTCGTCCTCGAACGTCTTTCGCAAGACCGCGACTTTCTCTTGCTCCTGGAAATTGAGAAGGGGATCATTTCTCGGTGGAAGGGAGAGCCGACCAAGAATGAGGAGGGACGTTTCTGCGAGAAACGCCGTCTGAGTTAACGCCCACCGGCGTTACCACGCAAGTGCTCCTCAGATAACATGGTCAGCACCGAACACACGGAATCGACGGATTTTCCCGATTCTCCAGCAGACGGAAAACTGCTCGCCGAGGCCGATCGATCCACGAATATGACCTGAATAGGTTTCAAGCTCGAGTTCCTCTTGACCCGAGAGGAAAGCAGAGACCCTGCGTATGAGCTCCTAGGTCTACATTCCGTATATTCAGAAGAAAGGTTGCGAGGAATTCTGGCGATCGAGTTCGATCGAACTTACGTCTTGTAGCTGTGCCTTTGTTTCGGTGAGTCGTTGTTCCAGCGCTCCCTTCTGGACTCCGAGCTCGGCAAGTTTCTTATTGGCTTCTCTCTTCTGCACTTCGAGCTGTCTCAACATGGCTTGTAGTTGTTCCAGCTCTCTACGGGCGGCCGCGACTTCCGCCTCACGAGTCCGAGCCTCGGCTTCGACGACGTCGACTTCTTCTTGGATAATACGTTTCTCACTGCAGAAGAAAAGAGGGAATCGTTCCAGTGATCGCAATATACATAGCTCCTCCCCGTTTCATGTTTCGCTATCGTCTCGAATCTCACGAGCAATCTTCTGTCCACTCACGTTTGAAGCTGACGTATCTCTTCGTTGAGAGCGTCGAGTTCCTTATTCCCAGTGGGTTTGCTGCGCTCCCGGAGCTTCTCTTCGACCATGCCCATAGCCTGAACGAACTGCACGCTCGATAATCGTCCCGTCTGCGCGGTGTCAACCGAGCCCCAGATCTGAGCGAGATCTTGCTGAGGCAAACCGGTGTCCAGGAATGTCTGTTTGCAATCTGCACCGTTGACGAAACCGTCTTTGTCGGCGTCGAGTCGCTTAAACAATTTGAGATGCTTTTCTCTTTCGATTTCCATAATGCTGTCACCATTGCCAACTGTCTCGCCGGGAGAAGGATCCGCGGCAGGCGGCGAGGCAACCGTCGCAGGGAGAGTGGGCGCTACAGGTGGGGCTGGCGAGGATCCTTGACCGGGATCGTCGAAACCCGAAGGTATAAGGTCCGGGATAATGGCTGCAGATCTTGTTTTCACTAGTTGTGGGGGGAGCGCCTTCGGTATTGGAGCGTTTTCGATGAGCGCTTTCGAGACGAGATGCATCGCCACGACGAATTCTTCCATGTCGAGGGAACCGTCCTGATCTTGATCGGACATATCCCATATCTGGCCCAGAACTTCGACAGGAAGTTTAGAGTTCAGCATCACCTACGAGAACGTTCTAGTTACTTTTCGTGTTGGTGACCGTAGTTGGACCAACGCACTTTTTAAACATCGAGGGATATTCACATGGGGAAAGTGGAAATTCTATTCCATAGCGGGCTGACACTCACCGGTTTGACTTTATTGCCAGGCAGGAGACCATTTTGAGGTCCGAGCGTTTGGAACATTTCTTCATATTTTTTGCGATTCTCCGCCTTGATACTCCAGTCGATAGCTGGCGGAGTGTTTTGTAGGCGAGGTGCGGGAGTCTCCGTTTGGTATAAGGCAGCGGTAGAAGGCGACACCCCCGACTGCGCGAGCGCTATCAATTTGAGCGCCACGAAAAATCCATAGCGGTCCAGAAACCTGCCGAGCGAAAATGTGTGTCACATAACAGCTCTAGGGGTTCAGAACTCGCGATACGAGTCTCGGGTTCGGATCAACCTCTTCCTTTTCCTCTGCTGTTATTGCAGTGTCGGGGCTACGAGTTCTTACCCTTTTCGTTCGGGGTCGGCGAGCTCCCAAATATCTCTCAGCACCGTGTCGGGCAGGGCGCTCCGCTTGAGGAACGCGGCAGCGTCGATGGCGCCGATTTGATTGACGCCCGCTGGATCGATTTGCTTGTAGAGAGCTTCATACGCAGCAAAATGGGAGCCCACCAGCTGAAATTTCGAAACGACTACTAAAACTACGTTTATCACTCGAAACATAGTCCGACCTCGATCTCGATGCCTGTTCTGAAGCTCTACAGCCACGGGACTTGAACGTAATGCTTGTCCGCTACAGAGCCTACATGAAGATTCATTCCAGCAAGCTATCCGGGAACGAAAAACGCAAATACTTTTACGCGAACAATCTGTCTTTATTTAAAAATATATATCACTCTCCGGGACATCACCAGGAGGATCACCAGGAGCCCACCGGTAACCGATTCCTGGGTTGAACATCGCAGGATGGCTTCCCGCGATGTTCCGACGCTTGTTTCAGTCATCAGAATCACTCCATCGATCGGCAATCGCCTCGGATTTGGCTTTGGAATCTTCCTCGAGCTCGGCTTCACTACACCACAGCAAGATACTCCGATCAGCCCCGGCGGAGAAGAGCCGTTTCGTGTGATTGCAGTAAACGACCGCAGATACCGAATCTAGGTGAGCCCTGAGGTTCTTCAAACGAACGCCAGTCGTCGTATCACACATCCTGATACTTTGTCCTGACGGCACGAATAGGACCGGCGTTGTCCCGTCGTCGGCGAGAGCAATCTGGACCCCTTTGACGCTGGCGCACGATATCCTACCGAAATTAATTCTACGATTTTTAGCTAGAGCAACATCCCAAATTCGAACGGTATGGTCCAGACCGTAGGTCAGGAGCTCGAGTCCATCGCTGCTGAACTCCATCGACACTATCCTGTCGTGGTGCGCTCGATGGTGGTTCGCCTTCTTCTGATTCGTGTGGTCGGTGTCGAGAGCTGCAAGATGTCCGCGCGTATACCTCACGTCCCAAATGCAAACTCGACCATCCGTGCCTCCCGTTACGCACAGGTGTTCGACAACTGGCGACCATATACACTGTCTGACCTTCCCGGTGTGAGCTCCCGATAGCATGTGGGTTTTCGAACTCGTATTGAGATCGAGGATCTGAGCGTGAGATTCATCGGTGGCTAAGAGAACTAAATTACAATTGACGCGGGATTGATGGTGCTTGTAGACTTGGCCGTTGAACCTCGCGAGGAAGACCGGCTTTAGACGATTGGCGTCCCACAACTTCAACGTCTTGTCCATCGACGATGAAGTGAAGGTACCGGTGTCCGCCGGAAACCATTGTACTGTCTCTACGCTGTACTTGTGAGCGTATCGAGTGCCGTGGGGAATTTTAGCGACCACTGGCAGAGTGCCCTCACTCTGTTCGAACGTGTCATGCACGAAGATCTGTCCTGCGATTCCACCCGATAGTAGGAACCTGCCTTCCACGGGGTCCAGGCAGAGAGCGTTGATTGGGAATTTGTGGCAAGCTTCCAGATCAGATGTTTTTGAGATCTCGATGCTCTGCTGACGTTCAGTGACTCTCGCTCGACTGAAGGAGATGCCCTTAATGCAACCGGAACGCAGCTGATCCAACATGAGCGGAAGAGAAGTCATCTTTGTTCTTGGTCAACTGTGGCATCCGCGACCAAAACTCGGAGAGTCGCGAGCTCCGTGGGTCCACCATGAATCCTTCGAGCAGGAAAGTCAACGGGAGATTGTCGAATTAATATCCCCAACATGTTCGATCCATTCCTCAAGCTTGACGCCCCGACTCCGCAGCCATCACACAAGAAAACAACGCTCCACTGATGTCTATCCGATGAGAGAAGAACAGAGTTCTCTGCGGCGGCGGCGACGACCACAGGGAAGATCATCTCGAGAAAACAGCAAAACTAGAAGCCGTCTGCTCGAAGAAGAATGATGACGCGCCCGTTCCCAGACACGACCCGCCACACTTTGAACGAATCTCCACCGCAGCGCGGAACCTACGAAGCCGTTGGCGATGAAGAGAAGCGCCGCGTAGTGACGAAAATCGCAATGTTCACCGAGAACCGCTTCCTTTGGGTCTCGTGAGTATTGTGGAATGTACGATCCATTCGGAGATCGACAAAGGCTGCGAGAAACCTCAGCCTCCTCAGAATAGGGAACATTGATGTCTTGCAGTGAAAGTAATCGTAGGGTTGAGAATGCCTAGGTACTCGCGCGGAGCAAGCAGCATCGGCCCATTCCGCTAGTGTATCTGAAGCTACGCAGATTCCGTATAAAAATTGGACCTCGACGAGACTGTCTACGTCGACGGATTCTACTGGAGTTTGTCGTGAACTTATGCCATCCCTCGTAGGTTCTCTCCTCAATCCGATCAATCGCATCTCTAATGCGAACTAGAGGAATGCTCCCCGAAATTTGACGGTATCAAAATCCGCCGGGGTCAATTGTCGCTGATCTAAACGAATTCGACTCCTTCCACTCTCTCGCACTTCGGGCTCAGCGACTTGTGAGTCAGAATCCTCACGGCGAACTCCCGAAAGTGAGAACAGGGGAAGGCTCATCAGGATCAGTCTCCGATCTTCGGACATCATCTCAAGCCGCGCGTAGCCCGGTGATTTATACCTCAGAATTACTGCCGGCTTTTAGACTGCTATTAATATGCATTGGAATACATGAATCGAATGGCTCCACGGCGGATTTAACTGCCCTCCGCGAGGGACTTTCCCTGACACGAAGCGCAACATTTTGGCCAGAGAAATATCACCTGGCCGAAAGGGTCGGGGGGAGCCCGCTTTTCAGCATAATCTCGTCAGCGACCCAAGGCACACGTGCGAAACCAAGCGGACTGTTCCCCGTTCGGATTTCGAGGAGCCTTTCCGTTCTTAGACATTTTCGGGCGGGCGACGGACCAGCAGAGACGTACGACATGGCCTATACCACATTTTTCCCGGAAACAGAACAGGTGTTCCGAGAACGGTGTTGCGTTCCGCGGGTGGACCAGCACTGAAACTTTATACTCATTTTCGAGAACGGAGGTCGAATCGAGTGGAAGGAACCGGGAATTATCGTCTCCGAATCGCGCAGCTCCGAGAGAAGCCTCGAACATGCCTCATAATGAGGAAGATATCCTGCGAAATTCTACGCGGATGAGGAACATGCAACTCCACCTGAATTAGCGCTCGAGGTTGTCTTCCGACATCTCTACGAAACTCGAATATCGAGGACAAAAAATGAAACTTCCCGGCATCAAGCCAAAATGATTCCCTTGTCGCCGAGTAGACAGGTGGGATCCTTGCCGCGCAAGTCGACGACCGAGAGAGGCCGGACTCCAACACTGTCCTTTTTGGGATTGGTCGTGTATCAGTTTTCGAAGAGAAATCCACGATCGAGTCGACCCGAGGTCCCGAGTCTATTCATTATCAGAGCGTGAACATTTCTCTCGGACTCTTGAATAGACGCGGAAAGTCAGCTACCGTGTCACTTATTCACGGAGTTGAGTGAAAAGGGACCTGATGTAAGGCAGCCTTGCGAGTCTCGCTTGCGCCACTGATTACAGTCTACCAGCTACAATGTGATCCAGAGAAATTATCTCCACGACTCAGTGATCAAATCTGAGGCAGAAGTTTGTTCACTTGAGCGGAGCTGAAAGCGGCAATGCAGAGGAGAAATTCGAAACTCATGCCTCCGCCTCGGATACGCGCATCACCCGTCATGAGACATGAATGATGAGACGAGCATGCCTGATTCGTCGACTCATTGCTTCTACAGAAAGGGTTTACCCGGACACTTTCGAATGCCTACGGGAGTGAGCGGATATCCGAAGTCGAGTCGAAAAGGGTTCGGCCTGAATCAGCCTCGATCTCTCGCTCGGATTTCGAACGTCGCTGTCATGCCCTTCGATCTTGGCATTTTAGGGGCACATAGACGTCGGTCGCCTTGGTTCCGGCCCGAACGATCCTCGGCTGATGTATCAAACGAGGGGAGATGCTCAATTGCTTTGCCGCAGATAGGTGCTTCACTGGGAATAGGACTCGACTCCGCTGATAGCTGGCCATCATGTATACATGTATCTCTCAGTCCTAAACTCTTCTCCTCACCTGGGCTTCGCTCGGTCTCAGGTCCATCTCAAATGCACCTCGGGGAGCAGATAAGGAGCCGCAGCGAGATCGCACGCTGCCTCACTCCATCAAAACGTGAAGTGTTCCTTCCGACAGTTTTGTCCTTTTCAGAAATCGCTCACACGACACTCGGCAGTTCGGCTGCACTGACATCCGCCATGTTAGAGGCAGGCAGCGCGGCATTCAGGAGAGGGTCGTCAGCCGCACTGATTTCATGACGGACCTTTCATCGTACGAGATCCGAATTTCTCGCGATCGACACGAGCACCTTCGAAAAAGTCTCGTGGTCCTCGGCGATATCCGTGCTGATAACGTTGTTGCCGTCGAGAGCTCCTATTCAGGGCTCCGGCTCAAGCGAACGACAACAACGACAACTCTGTCGCTCGGCAAGATGGCGGCGCTCATGGCGGCCAGAGAGACTTGTTCGTGAAATAGAGGTGCGCTATGTCGCTGCAAAGCACCGAACAGTTAACTGTAGCTCAGACTGAAACAACCGACGGACCGTCTGGGCGGCTGAGTCCCTCGCTCGTTCTCAAACTCAGGAAACCAAAAAGCGGGAGGTGAGTGACGTCACCCGTACACGAAGACAATTTTGCGTATCGGTTCTGATTGCTGGAAGGAAACCTCTATCGTTGATTCGGAGCTCGATGGACTGAGGTTCGAGACTCTTCGCGGTGTGTCGCTTCTCTGAAATTTCCAACGCTCCCTTGTCAGTCAGATGACTCCGGTATTGAGCTGTTGTTCCGTCTGACAGTTTCTCGGGGTTCGGCTCCCGAGCTGCTCCGAGTGTCGAGGTACTCTTGTCCTCGGCTGCCAGAGCTCAAGTCATTTTTCTCTAAAGATTTTCTCAGGGTGAATTCGTTTTCGTCTCGTTCACCTTAAGAAATCCCTCGTTTTCAAACTGATTTTGAAATTTCGGGTCGAATCTCGTCATGGGCTCTGCTGGTCATATCAGCTGTCTGATGCTTGTATGCACAATGTCAATTACGAGGATATTTCGTGGAAGGATCACCAGGATCGCAAAAAAATCAATTCTCGAATTCCTCTCGCGTTTCTAGGCGTGTCGGATGGTCGACAGATGTTGTTGACAACGAACACCTGAACAAGAAGAAATCAAAGTGTTGTTGCATTTATACGAAGCCGCGACAGTTCGGAGAAAGTTCCTCGGAAGACGAAGACGAGAAGGACTGCGAGCATTGCTCTGGTCACGTCGAGAAAAAGTCGCAACCCAGTGAAAACATCACCGAACCCTCAGGCAGCGAGCCGGGAAAGACGACGTAAGATCGTCATTGTTGATTTTTTCGAGATCGGAGTCGAGGAATCGAGTTTGTGCCAACGATGGAGGACGATCGGATGAACTCGGAGAATCAACGGCTGACCGAACACCTCGCAGGTCAGATAAGCCAGTTGAAAAGTCTCGCTTACGACATAGAGGATGAAGCCAAAGAACACAACAGGTGAATTGCTCGGAGTTGAAATGATCATCATTCCCTATAACGTCCTGCAGGTGGAAGGGGAATCCCTCTCATGAGTTTCCGAAGACGCTCCGTTTTCTGACCATAGATTTTTCCGCAGATACCTCGACGGCATGGGATGGAATTTCGAGTCCACCCGGAACCTCATGAGCGGGGGTACGAATCGTATTCATAAGTTACTCGGATCAGGAAGAGGTAATCGTCGAGTGATGTGCTACATCATCGCTGGAGTCGTGGTTTTCGGACTGATTTTCTTCTACTTGGCCGGGAGGGTCACGTCCCAAGAAGCCGCGAGGGATTGAAATCCGGCACGGGTCTACACGCTACGTTTTCAAGCGCAACTACTCCCTCGCTACTACACCTGCACACTTAACGTGTCCTCCACCGTCAATATATGTATGAGTATATAGTTACAAGGTTATGCAAATCAATCACGCGGTCGAAACGAGTGGTGTTTGTTCTGCGGCATCGTCTCCAGATGTCCCTGAGTGGTTCTCACCAATAAACGGATAGGTTGTGATTATCTTGGTATCGATGCTTCTCAATGGCCTAATTTCAGCGATCTATGGAGCGAGCCCTCATGGGGTGAATCGAATGCACCGAACTACAGCAGTCCCTGCCGATCCTAGAGTTCTGGCTCTGACTCTTATGGTCGGAATGAGTTTATTCTCATCGATAGTGAATAAATCATTAGAAACCTCAACTTTTAACCCCCTAGAACACATCGTGATGAGCGATATCACATGAAGTCGTCGGAATCATAACCGCAGTCCAGGTTGGACGTCATGTTTTCCGTTTTCATCAAAGAGTCGTACGACTTCAGTTTGTTCAGCTCCTCCCGTTTCTTCGCCTCTTCTTTCTCGAGTTCCCTCTGTTTGCGCTCCTCTTCACGCTTCGCCGCGCGTTCCTTACGGTCCCTCTCTTCTCGCATTTCCCGTAGGTCAATATTCCTTTCCACCTGAGAAGACGTTGATGGACTTACTTCAATAGGGTTCCGAGATCTATGACCGCAGTCTCCCGAGGCTTACGGTTCGAACGGTTTCCCGGATCACCCGAAGCTCATTATGCAGCTCTGCATGCGAAAAGCTTCTCAACACTCACCTTCGTCTTATTCAAACGGTTGATGATCTCATTGATTCGTTTCTCGACTCGAACCTTCTTGACATCCTTATCTTTGTGGAACGCAACTTGTCCAACTTCCATACCTGGAGTCTTCTTCAGATTGCTCCACATTGTGTACACTACGTCGATGTTATTTTGTTTGTTGCCCTGCCGGAGAACCTCCAGTCAGGAGCCGTGGACATTGCGAGAGTCCAAATAATATTGAAAGGAGGAGCTACTATTCAGAATGGGCGCTTTCGGAAGGGACAGCTCGATAGAAAGTACTCGAGCAGATCTTAAGCAAAAAGAACTTCGTTTAGCTTACGCTGATTGAGTTGTACTTGACCAACTGAACGCAGTCAGTGATTAGGTCCTCGGGAAGGTCTTCGATTGTTTGGTTCTGCAAGGAGAATTCCAGTACCGAACTGATAGGAGTGCCTCACGAATGTGGAGATTCAAATGATTCCCGACGAGACTCACCGGTTGCAGTCGAACGTACACATGGGCGGACGACAAGTTATCAACGTGGAACCACACATCTTCTGGCCAACCCCACCGAATCAGCTCCTCATCTGTGGGATATTCATGACCTGATTATTTCAACCGCTTGCCCCCGCTAGGGTGAACCTCCGACCCGCACTCCCGGAGTGATCGGAGGGGCGACACCTCCGGAGGAGCTCAGCACTGTATCATAGGAATGTTCAGCTCATATCCGCGAACGATTCGAAATTCCATCATTCCTTACTTTCATGTTTATCTGCGCCCATGTATAACTCCGTCGGCGGATTCGTAGCTGGAATAATAGAGAGGTTTTAGCATCACTCACTCAGACACTACGTCTCAGGAACAAGAAGATATGACAGGAAGACCCCGAAATCGAACGTTGATGATTGACAAGCTTCTGTCTGATACGTGAATTTCTTCTCACATGTGCTCGTGAAGTAAAACACCATTGTCGATTATTAGGCTCGAAACCGACTCAAGTTCGGATCGAATCAAATTCTGCTGCAGTTTTCGAGCCTGTTGTCAAAAATTGATGACTCAAGTCAAAAACGAAAACACAGGAGGAGGTCCGCACGTGGAACAAGGACCCTAGTTCGAGGACTATGATGCCGGAAAACGGAAGAACGGCGATCGAGTTGTCCGGAAGGATGTCTCTCCGATACGGCCGTCTCTCAACACTTGGAAGTGCGTTCAATTCGTTCGAAAGGAACGAGGGCGAGGTTGGACTGGTCTGACAATAACTGCATGTTTTGACGAATTCTTCGCAATGATGACGATGATCCAGGCGTCTGAGCGCGGAATTCGAGTCGAAGTCACGCACCGAGTTTTTCGCTCGAACATGATCGATTGGGTGGGAAACTTGAGGTCCCCGTTCGGACTGATCTCAAAATCCCCATGTCCGGCGGATGGACCGGACTTCTCGGAAAAATATGTGTCCGATTCGTGGAGTGCGCCGTGAGCCCTAATGAATTCCGAACAACCCACCCCGCGTGTGGGCCATTGCTAAGATTTAGATGGAGTCCAGGCGCTCTTTGGGCGCCCTGCCTTGCTGGATTGATATCAGGGGATAAATCAGTCAGTCATCATTCATCATCATTGATCTGTTTGGCCAGAGAACCCGGATTCCCTTTGACGCTATGTTCCCGATTGCGATAAAAAAAAACGTTCGAAAAGAAGTGGTTCTTGCTCCCTGACATTGATTTGGCGTCGCTTGAAGAGGACCGCCGAGAGATGACTGGACGAGCGGGCAGAAAGTTCTTCGGGATCGACCTTCTTGAATCCCCAAAGTTCGTGGCCTCTTGGAATTAAAAATATTTGGAAAAATTTCCTCGGCCCGGAAATCTGGAGAGACCCTCTTCAGTAGAAGTCGAACAGCTGCCGGGTCGGTTAAGATATATCCCTGGGACAACCCAGCACGGAACCCAACACTCAGGCTGTGGCAGACTCGCACTCTAGTGCTCTAGTTTCTCACTGAAATTATTGTAATTTTTATCCGGACAAAAGCTCGCGGGAGGAGTATTCCAAACCGAAGACTCGAGACGTTCCAACAAGAAGGCCGGTAACAACCAAGACGCCAGCGTTGACAAGACTGGATATCATAGTTGAAATCCCTCAGCGGAGGACTCTCTCCGGAAACATGAGCTTTCTGATTCGCTTCACTCCGCGGGTGTCGTACGGCCAAATTCATGTATCATTTCATCTCAACACAAATCATCGTCACCATCCTCATGTCTCTCATGGAGATGGAGAAACACATCTCAAAATCTGGGCTTGATGTTCTTGATCGTGGAGAACCACAGCGTACCACAAGCGGCCTCTTCAGATGGGTGGGCAAATATGAGAGGGGAAAAGGCAAGACATGTCAAATTGGAGGGGCAGCTCAGAGTACTTTGTTTAACGCAGGGAATTCTGAAATCGGTGTCGATCCAATATGCTTCCGGGAGATCTCCATCCGTCGCGGTGCTCCGCATCCTGAAGATGCGCAGTTTGGGAGGGAATCGACAGGAGTCGAAACTTCTGAGGGCCATGACGGAGGAGGGGAAAAATCTCCTGACTCGAGGGAGTCTTTCGCGCTCTCCCCGGAGAGACAGCATCGCCATATATTGATCGAATATCAGCGATGGGTCCCGCAGAGCACCCCGGCGGCCTTTCCTCGACAATTTCGAGGGGGGAACGATAATCATGGAATCAACGGAACAACCCCTAGTTTCTCGTTGCTGAAGTATGAACGGCGAGGAGGCGAATCATCACTTCGGTTGTCCCGCGCACTCTCAGAGTATGTTCCCACCGCTCCTGGAGCAGATCCCGTGAGAGTTGAGCAACGGGATCGAGGTTGCGTCACGCGGACGCGATTGGTATCGTCCACAAAGCCGATGCCTCTACCAGACCGCTGCCTTGTGCTAAATTGATAACAGGCTATAAATGTTCCAAGACACATCGGTGTCTTGGGCTTCGAAGCTTGGAAAAGCAGTTTTTCCAAAGTATCCGCCTGCAAAACGAATTCCAGATGTCCTGACGAGATGCTCGAAATGCGGATCCTTGGGTTCTTCAATCGGGGCTCTGTAGTCTATAGTTGTAAAGTCGTAGGTCGAGATCATATTGCTTGAACGATGTTCTCCGAGCGATTTGACCGAAACACAGGGTGTCCATCACCGGTATTCACTTGAGGAACCCACAATGTGCGGGACCCATCTGCGGAAGCAGTTCCCGCTACTTCCGAGGGGATCGCGATGACCTCCGGCCTAGACCTCTTCATCCAGGGGACGTGACTTGCCGAATTTCGTCTGATTGACTTGCCGGGAACAGGACCGGATTTTGTAAACATAACGATTCCCCGTTTCATCTCCCCTCATGTGAGGGGGATTCTCCCACTCTTCTGGCCGAGAATTCGAGCAATCCCTCCGATAGGATCTCGTTCCAATATTGGTCGGATGCCGGAGGCAGTCCAGCCTGGGGACCGAGTCGAAGGAACGAATATTCGTGCATGAAATAAATTGATGAACCGCTTGCGAGCTGCAGCTCCCAGCAGTCGAAGCTGAGAAGACTGGCTGCGGAGGGCGAGACGGGAGTACGCTGATTGATTCAAATGAGAATCGAAGACGCTCTGCCTTATGTTACAGCTCGATTCCATTCAGAATCCGCTCTACATTTACTTTATTTTTCTGTACGTTACCAACAACTTCCGCACACCACAGATCTTCCCCATCATTCGATTGTAAACGTCAATTGGTGGTGATGATCAAATCATGATGTTGATAATGATGGAGGACCGCCACTAGATGAAGCACTGCGCTGTATCAGTTTGGATTTCTTCCATTCCAATTCGGAAGTTTTTTCTCGAGATCGTCGAGTCCATTCACGTCATTCGCTCAAAACTGAAGCTAACATCGCTCTCGGGGGAGTAAACAGCTTACTTGTTGGCGAACTCAACTCCCTTCTGTACGGATTTCTTAAGTTCGTCTTGCGCCTCTGCAACGAGCTTTGCTTCGAAGTCGGAAAGCTTGCCCAGGCCCAAGTTCTTCTCTAGGCCGTTCTTGCCGAGAAGAAGTGGCGTCGAGAAGAAACCGGCTTCCCCGACGTCGGACTTTACGTATGCGCATTCGACAACATCTGGTTTACCCTTGATGGCCGACACCAAACTGAAGACGAAACGGGCTCCAGCAAACGCCATCGAAAGCGTCGCGCTCCCGCTTCCAGCCTTGGCCTGAACGACTTCGGTTCCCGCGTCCTGGATTCGCTTGGTGAGCTTCTCGAGTTGATCCTGGGGGAAGTCCACCTTGGGCGATGCTCGCGAGATGAGAGGGATGATCGTGACTCCGGCGTGACCACCGACCACGGGGACCGACAGCGATACGGGGTCGAGTCCCTTGGCTTCGGCGATGAACGTGTTGGCACGTACGACGTCGAGGGTGGTAACTCCGAAGATTCTGTTGGGATCGTAGACACCGGCCTTCTTGAAAGCCTCCGAGGCGATCGGAACGGTCGAGTTGACGGGGTTGGAAATGATGGCCAACATGGCCTTCGGACAGACCTGCGCGCATGCTGTCGCGAGGTCGCGGACGATACCCGCATTCGTGTTGAACAAATCATCGCGGGTCATACCGGGTTTGCGGGGTACACCAGCCGGAATGACGACGATCTGAATACCTTCGAGGGCGGCCTTGAGCTGGTCCTGACCGACGAAACCTTTGACCTGTGCGCCGGTGTTGATATGGCTCAAATCGGCGGCGACTCCGGGGGTGTGCGCAATGTCATAGAGAGACAGATAGCTGATACCGGGGTGTTGTTTCAGAAGTAGAGATAGAGGTTGACCGATTCCGCCGGACGCTCCGAGGACGCAAACCTTCACGTTGTTCCTCTGTGAAGTGGAGAAGTTCCTCGCTGCCAGACGGGCGATGCTGCCCCTAGCTAAAAAGGACATTTTCCAGATGCGGCGGGGTTTCTGAACGAGAAAAACGCGAGTCGGCGGTGAACGGCAGCAAGCACGGTGTGTCCTGATCTGTGCTCTTTGAAAGTCACACTTACACACATCACACTCTCTTCTTGTATGCGCAAAGCTGTCGTCTGCTAAATATTTTCGTCTCCCCGAAGATTCTTCCGTGCCCTGGAGGATCGGTTCGGAATATATCCTGATCGAGCTCGCGACCCCGGGATTTCCATTCGACAGCCGTCGGAGCCCCGAGTTTCGTGCGCGAAACCCTGCACGAAACTGGCGCTCGCAGTCGTGCTCGTGTGGCACGGTCACGTACCACACCCAGTAGCCGGCTTCGACGTCCCACAACCCTGTGCCTGCTGCTACTACTGTGTGTTAGTCTATGTTGGTTGGTTTGTTTGTGATGTGAGGGTTGCTGTCCGGAGTTCTCCTCGACTTTGTGTTCATTCAACCCAGGAGAACATGACCGAGGAGGCGGACAGTAATGAATCGAGGATCCTTGAAGAACCCGTGGTCGAGGCTGAAGCAACCTCTTGTGACGACATTCCGGACTTCGCCGTTTTGTGCTCGTTTCTGGACCGCTTCGGGAGTCAATTAGGAATTCCGTGCTCAATTAAAGAAGTGCAGTTCATGCTCGAAAAACAAGGCAATGGTGAGCTTTTGACGGATAGACGATATCTTGCAACTAGAGCTCGGCTTTGGGGTTGGGAATCCGGGTTGTCAGAGCTTCAAGCGGCTCGAGGGGTTTGACAGCTTACCGTTGGCGCCCTAGGCTGAAGGAACATGTTCGTCTTGTTCAATGTTTCTGACCGCGATCGATCTCGTAGCCGACAAGTGAACCCTCTACCCCGCGTAGGCTACGGCTCAGGTGAAAGTCACGAAGGCACGAGAATTCTTCGGAGCTGCGGGAACCGGGTTGAGGAACCGAATTTTGGTCTTTTCGCACCTACCGACGTGCCTGTCGTGCTGTCGCTGTTGATCGGTGTTTTTTACTGAAGTGTCTTCATCCATTTCGTATCCACAGTGTCCGAGCAGCTCATAGACATCCATGTGAAACTACTCAGGAAGATCCTTTCCGGCGCAAACAAAGTCCGGTTTGAGAAACATTTGGCGAAGGTGAGTGACTGCGAGCTAACGGGCCCATATCGAGCAGAATCTCCAAATGAATCCCGGAGCCAGTCGGTCTGGATCAGTAGCGCGTTGCGCGTCCGATTTTTGTCTCAAGCTCTTCTTCCGCGAGTAAGCTCTTGACATTTTTCGCTTCCAGTTTTGTGAGAGCTTTCTGACACCGTACAACTTCTCGCTCGTCGTTTGCCTCCAAAATGAGGGTTATGCCAAGCTGGATCTCGCGTCCAAGGTCCACATTCTCAAAGGACTCCTCGAGCTCCAGTTCGATTTCAATACGAAGTTCAAACAGACTGTTAACGAGAAAACTTCCGAAGAGCTCCGTCTTCTACCTTTGGGACGAGATGTCGACGGCATGGTGTATTGGCTCCAAGTCGATGAAGATTTGAATGTTCGGCTGTTCTCCGAGGATCTTGACGACGAGCATTCCTTCAAGTTGCTCCACAAAACGAAAGAGGAGCTCGGCGAGTTCATCGAAGCGCTGAAAAAGCTCAAAGGAGAGAAGTTCAAGGGCGATAACACGTAAGTATTCTCGGGACATTCTCAATGCCCGTGATTCTGGCCATGCGAGTCTCGATTACTAACGATTATCATCGGGATTACAGCCCCAAACGGCCGATGGTCAAGCCGAAGAAGGCCGAAAACGAAGACACGAAAGCTGGCATCAAAGAAGAAATTTCGAAATATGAAGAGCCCGTCGGAGATGAGGACGCGGACGGTCCCTCGATAAAAGTTGAAATCAAACGAGAAGTCGAGGAGAAGAAAGAACTCGTGGAGGATCTCTGCATCCGACAGAACGAGAACTCGCGCTCATCCGGTGAAAATCAGCTGGCGTTCAAGGCAAAATTTGAGAACGAGGCGCACTGTCAGCCATTGAAAGCTGAAGCACCTGTTGTCGGAATGCCAGAAGCTGCGCACTCCGCTTCTTCGAAAGAAGTCCCGGGAAGTATCGATACCGCCGCGACAGACCTTTCTCTACCTCATCTGCCCACTCCCCCCCACGAGCAAGAACAGAGACTGCCGGCAGCACCCCAATCGGCGGTGCATTCCCCACCTGTACCTCATAAGAAAAAGTCCACTGACGACGACAAAACAGATCACGCTGCCGAGGATCTCCGCACAGGCAAGAAAGACGCTTCAGGAGCAGATGTCGACGACGATGACGACGACGAAGGGGAAACGCTTGCCCCGAGAGAAGACGATATCGGAGCGTCGACCGAAGCGGCTCCGGGCGACAAGATGGACGTCGATGTCCCCGAGAGCAAGGAAAGAATCGATAGCGAGAGCTCCGGAAAAATTGGAGAGGAGCAGGAGGCTAAGCACGCCGAAACGAAACAGGAAGACGAAATTCCTCCGTCGACGTGTGTCGAGAAAGAAAGCGAGGCACAATCAGAAAAGGACGTCGTGCAAGAGGACAAAGATTCGATCGAAGATCGGCAAATGGAGGTTGACAAGGACATCGAGCCCGAACCGCTGGAGCCTGCGAAGCCCGAAGGTATCGATGCTGCCGATGCTCTCGCTCAGCCGCAAGCTCAAGAAGCAGCCGAGACTTCGGCAGAGCAGGAAGAGCCGGTCGAGGAAGCTGCTCCTAAGAAACGGGGGAGAGGTAGGCCAAAGAGAGGACACGGAAAGGAAAAATCAGCTGCGAGTACAGATGATAAAAAACCCAAAACTGCGAAAGGGCGGAAATCTCGAACCGCCGACGATGACGATGAAGACTACGACGGCGGAAAAGCCGCGAGGAAGAAGAGTAGGCCGGAGAACGAAGAGGACGAGGACGAGGATGACGACCCACCGAAGGTTTGCCCTTCATTTCATACTCCATTCATTTATCCGAATCCGTGTATAATGCCGCCCCTGATAACGAAATTCACGATCGAATGTCGGTCCCATTGACTCAGTATCCATGCCATTCCCAGGAACCCAAGAAATTGTCCAGAGAAGCTCGAGCGCTGCTCGCTGAAGCCGAACGCCTGAGAAAAGCCGAAGAGGCGGACGCGGACACCGAGGGCAGACCTCGGAGAAGCTGCAGGATGCGCCGGGAAGTGGAGAAGTAAGTCTCATTCATTCACATTAAAATGGCACAGGATGATATAAGTTGCAATCAACTCGATGGAGTGTGACTTGGACATCGAAGAGTCATATAAATTAATCAAGGTGTAGGACGAAGGGACGATACTCCGCGGATTCGTTCCCAATAGCGACTCCGGGCCTGACTGATCATCGCTTACAGATACGCAGTTTCCGACGACGAAGCTTCGAAGAAGAAGCGGAAAAGCAAGGCGGACAAAGAGGAGGAAAAGGAGGTCGTTTTCGTTACAAGCAAAAACGCGAAAAACGCGAAAAAAGCTGCCAAGGAAATGCTTAAAGCACAGAAGCTAGCCCACAAGGAGCTCATGAAGAAGCTCAAAGGCAAGAAGAAACGCGGCCGCAAGGGTGAGTCGGACGAGGACGACGCCGATTCGATGGACGGCTTGCTCTACGGCGAGGAATACGAGGAGCATGAGGAAGACGTGTTGCATTTTGACTACAACGACGAGGATGAATTCGCCTGCGACGAAGACATCGCCGACGGAGAATTCACTCACGAGGAAGTCAAGAAAGCGAGAACGGCGAAAAAAGCCGATGAAACTAAGGCAGTTGTCGATGACGAACCGTGCAGAAAATGTAACAAAAGCGACCATCCGGAATTCATTCTCTTGTGCGACTCTTGTGACGCCGGATATCATATGAGCTGTCTCAAACCCGCTCTGATGGTTATTCCTCTCGGCAACTGGTACTGTCCGCCCTGTGAACACGACGCACTGATCGAAGCTCTCAACGGCAAGGTCAGTCGAGAACCGACGAATCTTATTTCGGCATTCATAATAATCAATGCTCTCGCCGTGGAAATCGCAGCGTAAGACAGTTCCGGTTTCGATAATAACGCCTTCGAAACGCATGCTCCTTGCAGTTGAGTTTTATTGAAGCCGAATGGGAGAAGAGGCAGAAGGAAATCACCCGGAAACAGAGACTGGCATTCGTGTCGATCAACATAGGCAACGTTCTGCCTACCGGCAAAAGAGACGTGAACACAAAGAAAACTTTTGCCGATGAAGAGGACTTCGAGGATGAGGAGAGCGAGGTTCGTAGCCCGTCCGGGGGAGGTGCCGAGCTCTCTCGAGCTTCGTGGTGCAAGAATACATACGGATTCCTGGGAAGAGGCCTTCCAGCCCTCGAACAGAGGTCCTCGAAATGGAGCGAATTCTTCTCTAGAACGATGTATTATTTTCCGCTCCTCAGATCAGTGAAGTCGGCAGCTCGGATGACGATGACGGGGAGTTCTCAGACGACAGTTCAGGTCAACCTCGACGTCGACGTGCAGCTCGACGAGGTGATGCAATTCGCGAGAAAATGCAGGAGTACGACAAAATCATGCGTGAAGCAATAGATGACGAAGAGGACATCGAGCAGCAGAGGAGTTCACCCCCAAGAAGTGCGTAGGTTCTCGACATCGAGCCCCGTCTTCCAACCGGCTCTCGATCTAGCGAGAGAAAGTATCGATCAATCTGAACGCATCTACTAGGATTTGGCTTCGTGTCCGCATTGAAGATACGATCTTTGTTTTGTTTTTTCGCAGAACGCAGCGGGAAGGACATGTCGAACTTCTTGCCCGAATCGGACGAAGACGGTTCAGCGAAGAAGACGAAACGGCGACGGAAATCCAAGCTGAGCGATTTGAACGCGGCGGATTCGGAAGAAGACTCGGACGATTCCGAGTTCCAGGCTTCCGACTACAGCGACATCGAGATCAACAAGAGGAAACCTAAAAAAGGCCGCAGGCGGAAGTTCGCCTCCGACGACGAAGAGGAAGAGGATTCCGAAGCAGGATCGGACGCTTCCTGGGGTCGATCCAATGTGCGCAGTGCTAAAAGATCCGCAGCTCGTCGCAAGAATCCCCTGTCGAGGGAAAAGAGCTCCAAGAGTGAGTCCTGAACTGGGGAATTTTTTTTTCGCAAAGTGGCAGGTACGAATGGGACCCCAATCAAATCTGCAGCCGATCTCCTAATTTGCATTCCGCATTCTTCACAGAGGGAGGATCCAGATGGGACGACTACGATAGTGAGGCTTCACAGAGTTTCAAAGCTTCTAGCGACGATTCCGGAGATTTCTGTAAACCTCGTAAACGTCAAACAGTTAATTACGCCGAAAGCAGTGACGAAGAGGACGAAAAGCCTCGAGCGTCAACTCGGCGGAAGAAGCCATCCGATGATGAGGTTTCTATCAATGAAGAAGAGGAAGAGGATGAGGACGACGATGACGAGTCTACTCCGGAGGAAGACCCCAGCAATGAAGAAGACCGAAGCGGCAGCGAGGACGATGAGGATGATGACGAGGAAGACGAGGACGAGGATGACGACGGCTCCGACTCGGATGCTGTCGCTCGAAGAAAGAAGAAGAAACTCGCTCAGAAACAGAAGAAGGGCTCAGACAGAAGTGGTAAGTCGAAGGATCGTTTCCTCTGACGGGGAATCGACGCATAAGCGAAAACTCCGTGGCTTGACGTCTCATTGAGGATTTATTCACATTCCATTTTCAGCTTCCAAGAAAGGTCGAGGATCGAGCAAAAAAGTAGGGAAACCGGCCAAGAAAAAACCCGCCGCTAAATCCGGTAAGCGAAAGAAGAAGAAGAACCTCAGCGACGACGATGACGATTCCGACGATGGAAGCGATTGGGATATGCCCAAGAGGAAGAGCAAGGCCCAAAAGGTTTCGAAGGACGATGACGACTTCGAACCCGAACGGGAAGAAGCCGTGACGGGGGCGAATGAGGTCGTCCGAAGAAACGGCCGAGCGGAAGCCAGCAAGGCGCGCGCAAAAATTATCGAGTCCGACGACAATGAGGACGAAGAAGAAGAGGAATTTGAGGAAGAAGACGCTCCGAAGGCGTGGCCGCCCCTGCCGAGCCATCTCATGGCGAATATGAGCAAGCAGAAGAAGCAGAAACAATCCCTCGAGGACACCGAGACCCCGAAGCAAGCCGCACCTCAAGCACCAATCGCTACGGAAGCAGCTCTTCCCATACGACCGCCCGAAACGCTCCAAAACGTTGCTTTGCAACAACAATCACCGATTGCCGTCGCCGCCGTCCCGGCAACGGTTTTCGCCCAAGTGCCCCAAGCCGCCGTGGCGAGCTCGGTCCTCCCAACCGTGGTGATACCAAGCGTGCCGACCGCTGTCGTGGCCTCCGTCGTTCCGAATGTTCTATCGGTCGCGCCGCCTATGGCAGCGGTCTCTGCGGCGGCACATCCGATGGTCGCAGCTGCGCATAACGGATTGAGAACAGTCTATCCCCCGAGCACGGCTGGACTGATGCAGTACCCTCCGACGACGGGACAATCCCCAGAAGACTTGGCCCAATATTATCAGACTCCTGGCTATTCTTACCCCGCTCAGTACGCTTACCCACCCCATCATCAAGCGCCCCCCATGCCAGGTAGGTCCTCCGACTGATCGAACTCCTTCGGAGAAATCATCGATCTATCGCTGTGTGTCTGTCGACAGATCTTCAAGGAAAAATAAGTTTATCAAGAGCGATCGGTGGTGGAAATTTCCGATTTTGAAACGGGATCGAACTATTTCAGGTTATCCGGCCGCTGCGTATTCCGGCGCTCCCTATGCTCACGAATCCTTCCCGGAATGGGGTCCGAGTGGACCTCAAGCGCAGGTTGTCGCCTCTGCGGTTGAAGAGAAACCGTCAGAGAATTTTAGCATCTCCAATATTCTCCAACAGGGAGAACCCAATGAGGACATGGATTCAGTCACGTCCATTGGAAACCTCATGGGGAAATAGATTTTGGACGAAAATTATCCTGTACAATGTCTAATTTATAAATATTTTAGTCAGAGCTTGGAAGCTCTTTGTATTCAGAGAGAGGATTTTTAGGGGTAATTTTGGTCCGGATGAATAATGATTGTTCTCGGGAATTTTGTACACAACTATAAAAAGCGGTGTCGGAACGATGGCTAATGAACTTGTACAGACCTGGATGTCTCGGAGAGGAGAGGGACAGAGAAAGTGTGAGAATGCGATGAATGAAGGGATCGACTCGATTTTTTTCTGTGTATACTTATCAGAGCGTATTGTTCATTGAATAAATTGCTGTGGATAATTGTGCGACTCAGTTTATTCTCTCTCTCATTCCATCTTCCGGGGTGAACTTCCGGAAAAAACGTTCTCTGCGAGATAGTCTCGAGACTGCGAGGAAGTGCAACCGGGACGGAGGTTTGCATGCGGAGGAATTCGCAGCTCAGACGGATTTCGGCGCCGCTCTCCTCCGAATGCGTCCGTATTGACGATTCGCCGATAGATATTTTTGCTCCTTCCCTTATTCACTCGTCCACAGATCTTGTCAACCAATCCGGAATAGATCCCGATGACGATTCAAAGATCGATCCGCGAATCTTTCATCTTCCCCTATTCTGCAAATAACTGAGCGTCCGCCTCGAGACACGCAGGAGTTCGATATTCATACGGCGGAGATAGCGTTAACGTCTCTAAAAGCGACGAATCTCGAGGCAAGCGAATAGGGGAGCTCCGTCGAGATTTTATTCAAACAGACCATCACGTGATTGCACCGAGGGAAATTGAGCTCCCATTTCCCGAACTCAGTGACTGTATCAGAAGACATCAGACCTTCCTATATTATAAACGAATCGAGAAATTACAACCAAGAGTGTGCTTTAAGTCTGTCGGTGTATATATCATCCAAACATTTCATCTACCTATCTTGAAGCGTTCGAATAAATTAGTCCTGGTGTCGCAAGAATGAGCTGCCATTGGATTGAAGGAGATCGCCTTAAAACTTCCTCTGGTTCTTCATGTCGTCGATAAGCAATACCTTGCTCTTGTCCGCCTTGGGGTTCTGGATCTCGTCCATCAGTGCGTTAGTAATCGGATCGATGACTTCTTCTTTCATCGCCCGTTGGAGCAGATACCTGAAAGATAGGGTTATGAATTTTCAACGGGCGACTCAAGTGAGCGGTGGAGATTCTTTCTGCAGTGCCATCAAGGGGTTTCCCTGTCGATCTCCAACAGGGTGAGCGAGCTCTTACGCGAAACACGGCTTTGATCCACGAGGTGGAACTTACTTGGTGGCTCGTTCCACGAAAGGCTGCTCGAAGCCCAGAACGCTCTGATAATGGATCTCATCGACCCGTGACTCTTCCACTGTGACTTGATCGACCAAAGGTCGAGACTCGTTGCCGATGGCGCTCATCTGGATCTAGAACAAATTCATCGAATTAAATCATGCTTCGATGAGGAATGGATACCTCCGTACGACCGATTTTTCCCCCAGGATGAACACGGGGAGGATCAACAATCACGCGTTGAGGTTCTGACTGCAGTATGCGGACTCACTTTCACGGTCAGAGGACCTGTGTAGCGGAGGTACATTCGCGGGAGACCGGTAATTCCCAAATTGAGAATGCCATCCAACTGACCCCGGAGTTTGTATCCCCAGTAGGTCGTTTCTGAAAATATTGAGAATGATCCAGATGAGGTGCCGAAGGAGCACTACTCTACAAGAAATTCATGCAATCCTTCCGAAAGTCCCGAAACGGTGGGGTCATCACTCTTCGCGAACTCACTTGTTGTGAGGTTGCAGGTAACGTTGCGTTGATTCGATCGGAGGGTGTGGAGACCACCGATTACGGCCGCTCGCAAAAATCGTCGTCGCTTGAATTCGTGGAGTTCGGGCAGTCGTGCCGGGAAGTGTTCGATGATTCTGTCCAATCTGCTCATCGTCTGACCCTCGCATGCGGTGCCCTTGATGAGCGTACCGAGGGGCGAATCTATGGGCTTCGATGTGGTCAACTGGACCTGCAGGACAGGTTTCGGAGTGCTAGTGGTGGTGGTAGTGGAAGTTGTCGAACTCATGGGAGGTGGAGCGCGAACAGGGGTGACCCCGCCGCTGGGTGACGATTGAGGTAAGCGTCCAGCAGTTGCTGTTGAATCTGAAATTGCGAATCAGTTATCAGTGCTGAAGCGCTCAGTCCATTCCTACGTATTTTCCCTCCGCAACTCGGTGCCGGTATCGTTCGAGAATTCCCAAGAGTGCACAATTAGAAGAGGTTGGAAGAGAAGGGTACATAGAATGTACTCGGAGCCCTGCGGTCAATCCGAATTTCTCTTCGAGAATCATCCACCTGCGCAGAGTTCGCCTTTATTATATTTAAGTGGGGGGAGGAGAGCCTCCGAGCTGGTGCTACCGGAATACCAGACAGCGGTGAATTCGTTCAGGAGACGAACACCGCGGCGAAAGAAACCGTAAGTCCAGTGGCGAGAATAAGGAGGCTGGAGCGGTGATACGAGGATTTCTGGTGTGAACCAATAGCGGCGGCGGCGCACCTAATGTCAAGAATCGTTGGAAGATCGCTAGGTCTTGAGAATTCCATTTCTCAACGGGCGTATTGAACAGATTCTCGAGCTCGTCGATTGAGCTCGATGTTGGAATCGTCACTTCAGTCGAGAGGGTCATCGGTTTCGGTCTCCCGGTTGTCGTCGTGGTTGTCGACAAGCTGGTCCTGGTCCACGTTCGTAGCGGAAGGAATCCAGTCAGTCGATTCCTCGAGGGAGCAACCTCGATGGTTTGCTCTGATTGATGGCTTTCCTCTTCTTCCTCGGCTTCGTTCTCTTCGTCGCTCGCTCCGTGAAGCTCGACGATTTCCTTTTCGGTTTTAAGCGTCTCATTCGCCGGTTCTTCGAGAAAACTTGGGCTTTGGAGACAAACCCTTTGGAAGAGACAAACTTCTACGGCAAGCTGACGCTCTAAACCCAGCACACCGGAGTTAGTGAAGCGGTAATTACGCACCTAGGCATCCGGACACTTTCATAAGCTGATCATGGCTCTCACCTTGGCTATCGGGTTGAGGATCCCTTTTCGAAGTATTTTCAGACCCTGAAGGCTTGGCTTTTGCAGGCTGCTCCGGTCCGGATTGTGCGCTGTCAGCTTGAAGTTCCACGGGAAGGTTGGGAGCCGCGGTAGTGCTGGGAAATCGAGACTGGCCTGGAGTAAGACTTGCGGGTCCTCCACTGTCGGGGCCTGAACTCCCTGGTGTTTCACTTTCGAAGCTTGGGCTCCCTGAGGCTCCACTGCCGGAGCCAGAACTCCCTGAGGTTTCAATGCCGTGGGGAGGACTCCCTGAGGTTTGAGTGTCGGAGCCAGAACTCCCTGCGGCCCCAATGCCGGAGGAGGAACTCCCTGGGGTTTCACTACCATAGCCAGGATTCCCTGGGATTTTGCTGACAGAGCCAGAACTCCCTGAGGTCTCCATGCCGCTGGGAGGACTCCCTGAGGTTTCAATGCCGTAGGGAGGACTCCCTGAGGTTTTAGTGCCGGAGCCAGAACTCCCTGAGGTTTTAGTGCCGGAGCCAGAACTCCCTGAGGTTTTACTGTCGGAGCCAGAACTCCCTGAGATGTCAATGCCTGGGGTGGAAGTCACTGAGGCATCGCCGCCGGTCGGGGAATTCCCCGAGACTTCCCTGTCGGAGTCTGAATTCCCTGAGGTTCCACTGACGGAGCCAGGACTCGCCGAGCTTCCGCTGCCGAGGCCCAAAGTCCCTGACGCAGCCGTGTCGAGGCCAGGACTCTCCGAGGTTTTCTTGTGGGAGCTAGAGCTCCCTGAGGATTCACCGTCGGAGCCGGAATTCCCTGAGGCTTTGCTGCCGGAAAGAGAACTGCCTGGGCCTACAGCGTCGGGACTAGAACTCCCTGAGGTTTTCTTGTCGGAACTAGAAGTCCCTGCGCTTTTCTTGTCGGAGTTAGAACCCCCCGAGATTTCGCTAGCGGGACCAGAACTCCCTGAGGCCTCGCTACCAGAACTCCCTGAAACCTTGCTGCCTGAGGCAGAATTCCCCGATCCAGAGTTCGCGGGTCCGCTGCTCGGAACCTGTTTCGGGGGAGAGAGGAGTCCAACGTCAACTCCTTGAGCGTGGATGAAACTCGGTAGCTTCTGGGTAGCAGCTTCGTAGATTGACTTGATGAACTGAGGTATTTTCTGCACCGCTGATGGCGCGTACGGTGTAGGTTTAACGGTCGTTGTAGTAGCCACGATGGGTTTCTTCGTCGTCGTCGTTTTAAGTTTTCGGTCGTCAGGGCCGGAGGGTCCTCGGTCACTGTGTTCCCGCTTGTGACTGACGGCAATGTAGACAACCCGTCCTTGCGCTCAATTTGTTCTGGCACTGGAGTCGAAGCTCTCCGCACTTCGGTGGCCTCGACTGATTCTGTTGAGGGCGTTTCCGTCGGAGTGGACGGAGCTGCCGATTCTGTCAAGAATGTAGACTCAAACGCTGACGCGAAGAGTTGTGGAGCGTCCGGTAGGGGAGGAAACCCCGTCTCGGGGTCCAGAGCAGCTAGGGATGTCAACGTGTCTTCGTCGACAAGCTGGGTTGGGGTCAGATCACTCGAGTTGATCGAAATATCGGAGCTGGAATCGAGATCCGCCAGCAGTTCTGGGGTATGGAGGTCGAAGGACGATCCGTCGCTGTACTTGTGGATCTCTTTTGGTCGGAGGAGTTCATCATCGACCACGTGCATGACTTCTTTCTCGGGAACGATTTGTTCAGGGTCTCTGTATCTCTCGGAATGTTCGGCAACCACAGCGTCAGGCTCGACGAGATAACCATCTTCGGATCTGGAACCCTTGTCTGGCTTTTTCGAATTTCTCCTCCTTACATCGTTGGATCTGTGAAAGTCACGGGAACAACAGCTCATCCCCTGTATATATGCATGTATATACGCACACCGGCTCGGAACTCCGACCGATTGTACTCACCTGAACAAGGTGTCGTCCGAAGAATCATCGTCATCGTCGCCATCATCGTCGTCGTCGTCATCGTTCTTCTCTTCGGCATCGTCGAAGACGTCCCTGAACGAAGGTTCGGGGAACGCGCTCCGACGGGGATCCTCAAAAAAAAACTCGTGATCTTCGTCCCCGACGCTCTCTTTCAGGTAGGACATGGGAGGGCTCTTCATTGCAACAATCTGCCAAGGCATTATTCCGTTAATTCAAGCCACTGGATCGGAGCCCCAATCCCCGGACATTCGATTTTGACTAGAATTCTCTCAGAAGCTTTCTGAACCATGGGCCCAATTCGCACCCGAATACGAAAAAGAAACTCAATTTCGTTTCTCCCCCCCCCCGCATGCGTTCCGAAGGTAGCAATGATTCATTGAGATCAGGCTCTACCTCTTTAGTGTGGGGGACCTCGCGTTTCTCGGATGGTTCCGCTTTCTGATCCTCATCCTCGAGAAGAGTATCCTTGGAAGGGTTCTCTGCGTCCGCAGCGGATGAAGGTTTTTCACCTGTAAAGCAGCAAATCGCTCTAGATGGTCAGCTAACATGTCGGACGCAGCCCCTGAACATTTTCATTTTGCAACGCAATAAACGTGAACGGCATAACAACGATTCGAAGGCGTTTTATTTGAGAAACGAGAACTCCAGTATTTTCTGTCGGCAGGTCACGCTCGGCAGCTTTCCGGCACGATTATTGTTTCCCAGCGAGCAAAGCATCGGATCATCGTCAAACACTGTTAGATAATTTTCTTCGTCGCATTTTCCTTTGTTACAGTGAGCGGCGGCCGCGGTAGCTGCTAATCAGCGTGTTAGGTAATTCTAGCCAGTCGACTTCGTGATTTGTTCTCTCATGTTCCCATTCGCAGGCAATTCTGGCCTTCTAAGCGTGGGAATCTCTTGTCGAACATAGGAGCTGAGCGGCGCGGCAGTCGGAATTTTTTTTTGCAAGAGACATTCTTCTACCGAATCCAAGCCTCTAGATCGGGGAGAGCGATTCGGGGTTTCGGCTTCCAAGTCTTTCTTTCAGGTGAATTATTCGAAAGGCGGATCGCCACAGAATATACAATTTTCTAGAGGGGTGTTCCTGAGCGACCGACTGGCCAGATCTGATTATTATTATCGGAAAATAGTGAACTCATGAGTATATGACGATTACGAAACGTGAGTTTGGAACGAGAAATGCCGACTTCGTGAGTCCTGTCCTGACCGCATATGACCCTGACCATGAAAAAGTTTTGCTGGAGATAGGCAATGAAAATCTCGAGTTTTTGTTCGCGGCAGAAGTGAAACCTCCTGAAAGTGTCGTAACGATCGATAGGTGAGTGGATCATTCAGAATGCGGTCGACTTATTGGAATTATTTATTAGGTCATCGACGTCCGCGTTCTTTCAATGACCACTCCGTCGGTTCCAACGCGCCGCTGCGCGAGGAAGAAGCTGACCGCGACCGCCTTCGGGGGCGAATAGCTCACTTTGAAAGGAACATCTTCGTCAGAGCGAGATGACATCTGTTGTTTGAGAAAACAATCCGTTATTGCGGAGAAATCGCGGACGTCCCGACGCGAAGGGCATCAATGTCCGGCGTTGAGCACATAAACGTCCGGCTCGCAGGCAAACCGTCGAATCTATCCGGAGGACGCGACGCAGTGGCAGCGGATGCTCACTCACACAGGTGGGACAGCCCGTCAATGTTTTCCACCAAGACAACGACGTAATTTCACAGTTCAAAATCGCCACCACATCGCACCGCTCAAACGAATGATCAAGTTCCCGACTTCTTTTTTCAGTTTGATGACTTCATTCGGTTTCAATGGCATGAGCGCAGAACCTATTTCTTGTCGACCTCCCCATGGTCATTGTCAAGCAAAGTATGATCTTGATTGCAAGACTCATCTACGAGAACCGATCGTGAGTTCCGTTTCGAAAGCGGGAATCTTTCTGATGCCCTTTGCCGGGTACGGCGGGACGAACCGCGGCGTGAGAATATTCCAACATGAATTGATGGGATTCGAGTTCTGATTATTGATGTTTGTCGCTCAAGAAGGGAACTTCCCCGTAATCAGATATCTGAATGAATCGACATTCGGGTCCCACCCACCGTTCCCGAGCAGAGTTTTGATCTGTTGACTGCTCAGATCCTCTCCGTCGAATCCAGAATCCTCAGCGGATGTCGAGGGTTTCCCGAGTTCTTCTTTAAGACGGTTCAAGGCCTGCTCGATGCGACCTTCATCAAGAGGCGCTGTGGGAACTGGCAGGATGAGCTCAACTTTGGCCGCGAGCTTCGATGGGGCACCTGGAAGCGAATATTAACTGAGTCAGATGAATTCGAGTGCCTCGATGATTCGATTCCTTGCAGATCCAGTTTTATTTCGCTGAATTCGATCCCATCTTTCCTGTCTCAATTCTCAAGAACGGGTTCTCGAGAGTACTCGAGAAAGCATCTCATTTCTCCGCAAGACTCTCGGGAGTTTCGAGGGAAAAGTCTTTGAACGTCGGCATTTCGCCGCTCTGTGACACGAGTGCGAATTGTCCACGGCGATTACAATTACTATATGACATCGGCTGACATTGAAGAGAGTCTGTACACCCATGACAATCTGTACCATAAATGGCACAGCCTTCTCCCATGAAATGAAGACCCGGGCTCCTAATTTCACCAGGACCGAGATCTGAGCTGTAAATCCCACGATTCGTATAATGATGTCCACGCGGATGAAACTGTGAAAGCTGTCGTTTCCTGAGAAGGTGAGAAATCCGTGTTTCAAAACTTAATTCGCAATCTGGAAATAAAGTAATCCGCAGCATTCGGCGGTACCAGGATCTCCGCAGAGCTCCCATGTACCTACACTTGGTACCGCTAATTCAGAGGAAATCGGGATCGAATCTTTTCGCTCCGATTGGAAGGAATATTCAAGTACACAGGGCTAGAGAGAGAGTATCCGCAGGGATCGGGGATACCTGACAGCGATCCGATCTCCCGACGCGCTCATGCTGTGAGGTTCGCTGTACCTTCGGGGAGTCGTTGCCGGGCGCGGCGTTCCGATGCGAAAACAATCTCGCGATTCATCCCCGAACCTCTGACGACGAGGGCTCTTTTTCGCTGGCCATCTGAATTGCGCAATCTTTGGCCCCTTCCTTATTCCACTTCCCGTCAATCGGAACCTCGCTGCCCCAACTCAACCGAACCAGGTCGGAAGAATCTGAAATCGCAGCACTTTCGCCTCAATTGATATGATCGCGTTCTCGGCAGTATAAACCACGACCGGTAGTCGATTTCTGTCAGAAATCGAAGACCGGATGCGGCTACGAATAGTAGCTACAGTGACAACGATGATCGGTGGGGGCCCATCTGTTTCAGTTCCGTGTCTTGTTCGCTTGACAAATACCGCTCCTGGAGAAATTCGAGGTAAGCGGGGTCGGAAGACTGCCGGAACTTCACCGGCGATGGGGAACTTGAAGCGTTCGACAGCGGGTATCGAACTTGAGTTCGACCTCCCTAAGCTGTAATGTTTGGAACATATAGCCGCAGATCCCGCGCCGAGAACAGACGTCCAGTACGGGATCAAAACCCATTAGGACAGGACGGCGGACGGTCAGCGAGTCGTTCTGCTACCCGCTCAGTCACGGCGAGATCCTCTAAGGAGTTTTCCGATTTCCGAGAGAATATATTGTTCACAACCTCTACCAGTTCCGTGTTGTAGAGGAGGCATCGCATGGATCCGAGTTGGAGGAATTCCCTTGGCTCTCGTTACCGTCGCGTCGTCTCCAACTCGCACTTTGCGTACCGTTGTGGTCATCGCGGTCACCGTAATCTGAAGCATTGAAGGCAGCCGAACACCAGAACGACGGTCGCAATTCTGGACGGACGGACCGGCAGACGAAAAGAAAAGAGAGCGCGAGGAAGAAAACGCAAACAGCGAATATATACACTGTGGAAACGTACGGACAAAAGTTTCGTCAAAGTGTTTGCTCGGATTGGGACCACGCCTTGGTCTTCAAGTATCATTTTCGTTTCACTTCTTTCTCGCTCGTCTCCTCGACCCAATTCATTCTGACACTTTGTCCACGACACATTCCAAAGAGTTTTTCCAAAGCGAGATTTACCGCGCGAGTGTTCCTTCAGAAGTCGCTTTCGTTCTCCGTGACACCGAGCTAGAAGCCAAATCAATAGCCAAAGGCCGAGATGACGAGGAGGGGTTCTCCCGCCCTGAGCTCGTACTCGAAATTCACCCTGAACGGTACAAGGCCGGGAGTCTCCTCCTATGCCCCATCTCGCGCATCCCGCAGAGCAGAGACGGATCCCAAGCACCGCCCGATATCCGGACCCTCGACATGCGGATAGAAGATTACTAGCTCTACATCAAGATCGCGACTTGGTAACGCCTCCCGACCAGGATTACGAAATCACTTAATTCTTGTTTGATGGTGGCTCTGAGCGGGGGATTTCATATTCGCACCGTAATCGTGAGTTGGAGGAACGTTTTCGGGATCTAGTTCAGCTCAGAGATCTGGATTGTCTTGCAGAGCCTCGGCTGACAACTGGGAGGTGGAGCCCCCATGGAGAAAACCTCCAACTTCGAGATCCATCCTGAAAGCATCGGAAAAGTCCTCTCCTCTCCCGGGCCGCTCATCAGCGAAACTCTCAGATCGCAGTCATCGGAAAATCGATTATTCCCTCCTCTATCTCCCGCCGACTCCCGCTCCATCCCCTCAAACTGGGACCTTCTGGCACGAGTGAGATGATTTCAAAATTTTCGAGAGAATAATTTCACGAGACGTTGAAAAACATCCAGAAGGTAGTCGATTGCTCAGAAATGCGGGGAAGATTCATCAATAGAGCTTGGTGAAGCAGAGCCTACGGAATTGGAGCTGGGGGAGTCACACAGAGTCGTGTCGGCTTGAACCTATCCTCACCTTCGGCCTTGGAAAAGAGCGAGACGGCGGCGACGACCACAAGAAGCGATTGAGCGCCTCTCATGCTTCCGCAGATGGTTGAACAAATCCTCAGGAACGAACTTCTTGATTTCACTTCGGCTTTTTAGGAAGACTATCCCACGACCGACAACGTCTGCGAACTCCGGGTCCAGAAAATGTTCTGGTGCGTTGACGAGCCAGTGGACGAACGAACGACCAACACCGGGTTCTTTGCTTGGATCCCTAGCGCCGACTCGTTGGCTATCTTGTTGCTCGGTCGGATCCCTCTCTTCCTCCTCTGCTGTCTTCCTTCCTTCCACCCATCCATCGGGGTCCATCTATCCGTCCATCCGTCCGTTTGTCCAAACATCCAGGAATCTGTCGGTAACTTGCTCGCGATAAATTCGTCGCTTCTGCTTTCGGAAGCGAACGCTGTCTCAACGATCCGGGTAGCCGAACGAGCGGTCAATATCAGTCGTTGTTCCTCTCCCTATATGTTCGAACGCCTGCATGCAACTCCTGTTACGTTGACATGGGCGTCGAATAACGGGTCTGGTCATCGAATGCTCGCTCGTCCGGTCATCTATCTCATCAAACGTAGAGACAGTCAAAACGAGTTGGTGCTGAAGGGTGAACGCACTATCGTCGCCTGCAGCGAAGTTGGGAGCGGCGGCGACATACAAGAAGCAAGAACAGAAAAGAAGCAGAAGAGCAAAAACAGAAGACGCGCTAACTTGACAAATTCACCTGATCTTACCTGAGGAGTCGGCCGTAATCGCGACAGACTCACAGAAGGACCCACCGTCTTGTCCAAGACCGGAACCGATTCGACTCCTTCGGTGGTGTCGAATTCCCTCTGGGAGGGAAATTCTGAAAACGGCCTCGTCCCCCTGCTCTCACTCAGAGCGTTCGAGTGATTTTTCTGAAGCAGCGGAACTCAGCAATCGATGATCATTCCTGATCTCACTCTTGAATTTCCGTCCCTGTATCGGTTAGTGAAGGATCACTCCAATAGTTTCCTCAACGCGACTCGATCCGGATCACGTCCATCTGGACGCTCTTCCGCGACAATGCGATACGACCTTCCGGCGTCTAATCGCATTCTCCCGTCAGATCTCGCCCGGAATACCGTTTTTCTTTTTTTCATTCATGAATTGAACAAAGGAGTCAAACGGAAGTCCAAAAAGAGCCTCCTCCGATCGAAACTTCAGCCGACTTGTCAATTCAATCTTCGGTGTCAATCTTCTGGGATCAGAATCCACGGATGCTTTTGTGTGTAAATGTGCAAAAATAAGTCAGACCCTTCTCTTCTCGGTTTCTACGCTTCCCTTGCGCCATTCCCGCAAACCATGCCGAGCAAGCGACGGACAGCTGCAAACACAATTCGCAGATCATGATAACAATAAGTCACGAGACATCGTTCGGGGCTGACGAATGATAACCAAAAACAAGAAGAATTATCCCGCATTGATATTGTCTTGTGTTATCTGGGCGACCTCAAGTTATTCTTCTGCGCTCCCCGTAGTGCGTCTGGTGTGGCGTTCATTGGAATTTACTCTTTGTTTCCACGTACTGTCACGACTGTTTCCTCGAGCTGTCCCGCTCTGGACTATGCTAGGCCATATTTTCGGTCGCGAAGGTGGACTACCCGACTAATCAGCAGACTAGCCGCTTTGTCTCGAGTCGCCTCATGGACTGGGGAGGACTCGCTTGTTTCTGTCTTCTGACAGTAGCTGCCATCATGTACGTGCTCTCCATGCATTCCAGTCGGTGATCGAAATCTCCCGCTTCTGAGCGATTCCAGTCCACGCTTAGAACCATCATCATCGCCATGATCGCTCCGAGGACACGACAGAAAATTCACGGATGAAGTTCAGTGATATTCACCTTGGTTACCGAGCGCTGGAACACCATCAATATCCGAAAGTTTGCGGTCATGTAGTTCTCAAAGACAAACGCAAGACCTCGAGTCCAGCATTCGAAACCGATTCGGTCGGGGAAGCTTTTCACGAAAAGATTGAAAACTTCCAAAGTTTGACGGAATGTTTTTTTTAGATCTGTTGACAGGTGTCGATCTTGAAGAATGCGGGTCCGATTTTCGATGAAGCGTTGCTTGTTCTCGATAAATTGACAACACATCGACACATATAGGACACACCTGGGCACTTTTCGAGCTTCGGAGCTGCGTCAAAATTTCGTGCATTGGCGAAAATGACGCATTTTCTAATAGTTCCAGGTTCCTGCCCTTCTTTTCGTGGATCATCGGCGTGATCATTTCGAGTGAATATTAATACTCTAAACGCTACTTGCAAAAATCAAGAAACCGCGATAAGTTACAAAGCGTTCATCAAGTTTCATGGGCTTATTATTTTTTGGGACTCGTGATAGCATTTTTTCTTCAGTGTCGGCCGAAGCTCACAGAGGTTTTTTATCGCAAGTTCCACTCATGGCATTTGTGACTGGAATTAGACGGGCGGTAAAAGCGGTTTCTTCCATTCATTCATTCATTTTCTTTTTCTCCCTTGTAAACGTTGCAATCTGTTACGTGGAGCGAGCCCAGCCCGTGTTTTGCATCTGTAGAAGGTGAAACACCACAAAATTATCGCTCTATCCTTATCCGCCTGAAATCGCTTATCAACGTGTTTTGGGTGATTTCTAAGATGTCTTTATCATCAGTCATGACCGTGATGTACGATCACTCCGATATTGTGGTCTTATAGCTACACTGTATAGTTTCGCGGACTCGCTTGAACTCACAGGAGCTCGACCACCGCTTATCGCTGCTCGCGTTTTCTTTCAGTTCCCTTTGCTGTAAGAATCTATGGAGTGAACGAGACAGATGCTGTACTTCCTCCAGAAATCCGTTCCCCATCTAGTTGGGTTCTGAACGCTGGATGGAGCTCGAGGGGAATCAAAGCTCCCGTGGAAACTTGCCTCGACCCGGAAGGACTCACTTAGGACGATTTCCGAAACCTGTGCTTATTCTTGAATCAGAGGAAGAGAGTGAGTCGCAGAATAAACCACCGGCTCAAGTGGCGTCGGATCTTGGCACGACCGCACCACACGTGTTTCCAAATCGAACATGACCGTAAAACTAAGGCCGATTAGATTATTCACCCAGGAGACAGTGATTGATGATTACATTAGCGCTGACCGACAGAAATTTGAGACGAAGATTATAATACGGTCGGAGTGCTATATCAGCCAGAAGTGGGTCTCTCGACCGTCCGCCGACCTGTTCCATTGCTGGGCGACAAGCTCGGACTCGCGCATAACTCCTAACATTCTCATTTAATGCTGGGAGGATAGTGTTCGGAAATACTCCGCTAAACCAATACTAATCTGCCGCGGCAAACGAGTCGGATCTGCTCAACCGCGCTCCATCCAACATGGCTCTCTAAAGTAGAACGGACTCGAAGTCCATCGAGTAATCGTGTGGGGCTTTCCTTCAAGGAACGCAATCCGACTCTCGTCGATCTGATGTGCTCCAGACTTCCTGAGCTTATCTCGATGAGGCCGTTGGGTGGTCTGTCGAATGATGAAACCAGAAAGTTCCGGACTGCCCTGAAGCTCGCTCGTTCCACGAGGACTTGGTCTGTCGTTGGAGAATCGTTAGCACTCGCGAAAAAGAACATTAGCAGAAGTCTTGTGTCTTGTCGGCTTCAGATGAAGTTCCGCGTGATGCTGTGAGAGGAATCGTCTGACACAAAAATAGGAGGGAAAACTGCGGAGACAAGGGTCAGAGCTCTCCGGTGACTTCACGTGGACGTTTTCTGGTTGCTTGTCCGAATCTGCCGGCATATAATTCCGGGGGGATAGGTGACGTAATCCCCCTCTTGGTCAGGTCCTCATTTCGAAAGCACCATTGAATAAGGGTGGCTCATATCCCGTGCTACTTTCTACGGTGATCAATCCTCCATTCAGTCAGTACCAATCGGCTCAGTCAGAGTGAAACAATTTCCTCGCTGGGGACTTAATGTAGTCGCAGCAACTGCAACGCAGCGTATCGGCTTTTGCTGCTAAGCATATCACATCTAATTCGGGAAGGGCCGACTCCCGGAGCCGACCGGATTGGAAGCGGCTCATACTTCCCGCGGAACAAGAGTTCTGACTTAGCACGGACTGTTTTGTTGAACTTGATCTTGGCCTCCGATCATATCGTGAGAGCAGTATAAATAGTCGCCAACTCAGAAAAAATATCGGTGGTCGAATTTATTTCTATCAAGACCTGCGCGACTCGGGAAAACATTTCCGGCAGGATTTCCTGTGTGGTGATCTTCGGCTCATCGTGAGCCTCAAGTCGAAAAAAATCCGATGCCCTGGAGCTCCCACGGAGTCCGAGGGATTCTCGGGGCTCAACTTTCCTCGAGGGATTCAGGAGGAGATTCGCAAGCGCAGTGTCGTCTGGAATTGACCGAAACGGTGGGGAACAAATCTGATAGGGAGCCGTTCCAGGCCTCTCGTTGAGTGATTATCTAATCTTGAAGCCGCGCGGAAATGGAGTTGGCTCGCCCTGAGCGGAGTTCTCATGCTCATCCTCGTCTCTCTTTCTTCATCGAGAATACATAGCAATTTTCCTGGGAATGTGGGCCCATGAAGAAGTTCAGACTTTTTTTAAGTTCGTAGTCGGTAGAATGGCTTCCTGGAATCCCCGATCTAACGTGATTGGAACGAATGGTATGAATTGTTAGGATTTCACCTGCGATCAGCTTGAAGTATTTCCTCTGTTTTCTCCATTATCGTTCATTTAAGCGCAGAAAAATCTGCGGCCGGAGACCCGTCGCCTGACTGGCGTGCTCTTTGCTCGCTTAGCGATTGCTTTCGTTTGCGACTGAAACCTAGTACCTACTTCTTGTTTTCCATTTCATCTCAAGGATCGCCAACAAAGCAGCAAAATGATCGAAAAATGAGAAAGTAATTTCTGCCGCCTGAGTGGAGACAGCGGGTCGCCTGTTCGGAGGTCTGGATTGCTCTTTGAATGCATTTCGAGAGAGCGAGCGAGCCAGCAACTGCCGGAATTGATTCGGACACCGTTCTCGAATATGCAGAACGAGTCTTCGCTCTTGGGATCAGTGACAACGACGATGACGACAATGGAAACAGAAAATCCTTTGAAATATAAGTATTTACGTACGGATATCTGGGTGAAATCTGAGAAGTCTTCAACGGAGCCGGAAAACAATGCTTTGGCGAGCGTCATTTGTAGAGCGATGATGGTTTGGGGCGAGCGATGAAGGTTCCTTTTTTCTGGAATCCTTTTCACGTAAGCGCGATAAGTTCACCTCTCGATGACCTCTGGAGCGAAGTTCCTAATGCTTCTAGAAGTTGATGGCCGCGAGAGTTACGATCCCGGCCGTTTATGAGCATACCGTAGCAGGCTCGCATCGAAACAAGCAGAATCTCCGGTGGCAAAAAAAACCTCGTGCGAAATCCGATCGTTCGATTCATAGAATTGAACATTTATGGTCTACGATTTGATGTGTCGCCCCGCTGGATTTCACTGATTGGCCATGGCATGAGATACGGAGATCACTCTGAGAAAGAACGTGAATACCCGAGGGGCGAGAAAATAATCGGAGTGTTGCAGGGAAAAGTTGAAAGACTCTTTTATTATTTACAGAGAGCTATATACAGAATACGTCCGACGTCCAGATAGTGTTCGCTTTGCTACTCATGGAAAAGGACCGTCCGATTTCACTTAGTGGTTCCGTCGGTTACTTCGATGTTTGATCGGTCCCTCAAATATTAAGAACAGTAACAAGTCTTCAGTAGTGAAAGCAGGTGAAAGTCCCGAGGCGGCACGGCCCCTCTCCTGTTTGGTGTAGAGCTCCTCCTAAACTTGCAGTTATGCATCTCCTCGTTGTCCTCATCCGCATTCTCCTGGAGTTCTTTTTTCACCTCTTACTTCAATTATTATCGTCGTCCCCTTGATGTTGTTGCTCATCAAATACATATTTTGGATAATAATGTAAAGTAGGACGACTTGTAAACCTAAGCCTTGGCAGATTCAGCAGTTCGACACCGAAGCGCCGACTGCTTAGAGACTTCGAAACGAATGCAAAACATTCCTATCGATTAAATTAGTAGTGGCCGGCGTAGCCGCCGTATCCATATCCGTGACCGTGGATGGGAGCGTGCGCGTGGATGGGAGCCGCGTATGCGTAAGCGGGAGCAGCGTAAGCGGGGGCGGCATAGGAAGCGTGACTGGCGAGGGGAGCATAGGCGGGCTCAACGTACGAGGCAGCAACTTTCACTGGGACGGCGTGGATGGATCCAGAAGGAATGCTCTGAAAACGAGGTTCGCGAACGTTACTCGGATCAAGAGAAAGTCGGCGAACCGAACGAAGCAGCGGAGCGGCTTTAAAGGAAGACCTCCGGTCGCCAGGCGACAATGGACGCGTGAAGATCATTGTTTCGAATCGTGAAGGTTAACATTTGATGATGGGGCAGTCGCTCATACGTCAGTCTGTTGGACCGACCGAACAACCATTAGTCACGTGTCATTTTGCCCCGCTCAGGGGTAATTGACTCAGGAAGCAGAAGAATCTCTGCCGAAACGACACAAGGAGGGTGATTGTGACGGGCAGAAGCGCAGATCATCAGAAGGTACCGAACTTAGATGGAATTTCTGCGGGGACTTCTGACGGTAGTGTTCTCCCTCGGTGGAAAAGACTGAGTTTGACCAAGGGTGAAGACAAGAAAGCCTCAAGAGGTAGTCACGGCGCGGCTTCTGAACGAGGGCTCTCAAATGGAACAGAAACGTCCGAAGGGAGATGTCCCAACAGAATGCATCGTCGAAACAAAGGCACCCGAGAAACATTTACGGACGGTGTAGTCAGCGTTCGGTTATCGAATAGAGCGGTGACGATGGAGATGATCACGATAAAGATTGAAGAGTGAATCTGACATGGTGGGGAAGCGACTCATGCCGCTCAGGTGAACTTGTCGTTCTTGTTATTGTACGATTGTTATGGTGTTTGACGAAACTGGCGATATAGCCGTAGACAAAGTCAAGTGTGATAGCTGCTACACGGCGATAAATGAACAAGACCATTCGGAACATGAATTTCGAAATACAGTGCAATTGAGAGGAAAACGTGTGCTTTTGTTAACGTGTGCGCATCATCATGCTCGATGTGCGACAACGCCCGGGAAGCTCACCTTTCCGAAAGCCGAGGTGATGGGAGCGAATGCGGGCTCAGAGGTCTTGGTTCCAGGCTCGTTGGTCTTGACGGCGGCGCGGAATCCGAGCTTGTCGGCGACGTATTCGACAGATCGGTGACGACCGTCGATCTCTCCGAGGTAGTAAGATCCTACAACGTGTCCATGAGAGCCCTTCTCGGAACGTCCGTTGACATTGCCCCAGTCGTCCTTAATGTCGTAGCCGAAGGCGTAGTTTCCGAAATCCTGTGGAGAAAAATGTGAGGAGCATGCTCATGCGAGAGCCCAATGTGCAACGGGCGGGATCCGGATCCGCGTCAGATGGGAACTCACGTCTTGCTTGCGGTAATTCGACGAGGATCCTCCGAGGTGACCGGCTGCTGCCACAGCGACCAAAGCGGACAAGGCGACGAACTATAAAATTTTAAAACGTTAGGGAATCTAGATCGAGGCAGAAGTCTGAAACTGCGATTCAAAAGATCAGTGCTGAGGGCACCGAAGGAAGGAGGTGGAAGAACGAGTATGAGGAAGCTCGTTTGGAGGGGAAAACTCTCTGATCAGATCCCACGGGGATATTTCAGACTTTGACCGACTGAAGGAAGGATTGAGCGATGAAGAGATGGGTTTCCACCCAGGACCCTACGGGTATCACGGAAATTTTTCCAATTGAAGCACCAGAGATAGAACACAGGGAAGGGGAAAAGTTCACAGAGCGGGGAGTGCCCCCGGGGAAATCGAGGGTTTAGGCGGTAGGCAGAGATCCCTTGAGGTCAGAAGAAGGACCAGAGAGCACTGAATTATGTCCTGCAGCGATTAACGGGCACCACGAAGCTACAGAAGCAGAAAAACACAGGCAGAAAAATTAATCCTCCAGGAGTGAGTTCACTGAGACCGAGGGACTCTCGGCCAAGGGAGGAGCTACCGGAGCTTACTTTCATCATTGTTGAAGTAGCTCTGAGTAAGATGAAGCTCAGTTTGTTCAGTGTGCCTGCCCCAACGAGGCTATATACCCACCAGCGAGCCTTTCCCGCCACGGGGGCCGGCGGGTGAGGGCAAACGTTTCACTCGTCGTCACATGGCAAGGCAGGCAAGCCAAATGGCTAGCTGGCTTGCGGGTTGGCGGGCGGAGTGGTAGTTTATCTCTTCCCAACAACGGGTAATAATTACGTGCTTCTAACAGAAACATTTTGCCACCATGGGAGAGAGAAGGAGACACGGGATTGCGGGTACTCGATTTCGTTCGCACGCGTCGTTCCATTAGACTTTTTCAGCTGAACTTTTCTTGGTCTTCGGCTCGGCGAGGGTGGGTCTGACCACAAAGCCGTGATTAATGGATTTCGTCCCCGAGTTCCTATCGGGTTCGTCCAGATCTCAAACCTAGAAGCCCTTGCGTGGACCACCTACGAAGAAATGGAACCGAAAGGAGACCTCCCGCCAATTTTTTTCTCGAAAAACGACATGTCGGAGTCAGGGTTGATATCGCATGTTCAGGAGCTGATCAAGACATGCATGTCTCATCGACGAATTCGGGAGATTCCAACCGGTATCCGACATTTCCACGGAATCCTGAAGAGTCCACCTCAACGTAGGGTATGCGCCACCGGGGATGGTCGGGAATCCATACGGATGATCCGCAGAACGGAAAGATGATTTTTGAGCTCTTTCGTCTGATCCTCGACGAGAGTCTGGGCCCTCGCACCGTAAACGAGCTCGGGCGGATTGGTCATTCAGGCAGAAATCGTCATTGACTGACTGAGTAGGTTTCGCTGGACCCCGTTCCCTAATACTTGAATAGATTGTAATATTATAATTATAATTTATAATAATCCGTAGCTTCCGGGTACCTCCATGAAAGAATACGACGATGTGCGTACGATCAGCGAAACAAATATTCCCAGAGAGGTCAATCGGGGAAAATCTCTCGGTAGCGAAAGTAAACCACGGAGCTGAATCGATGCGATAGTCGAGTAGTGTACAGCTGCCACAGTCGTACGAGAACGTCGACAACAAAACGGAAAACGTTGGCAAGGTCATCGAGGAAAAGTCGTTGAAGCCACTTCAGTGTTTCCAACTTTGGATGTTCAGCACCGCATTCCGTTACTTTCTGCATCGGCCGGGTCCAAGACTGGTCAGCGTGTCTTGTGAAACTTATTTTCGCTTTGAAGAGCCTCGGCTTCAGTATTCGAAGCACATTATGCGAACAGTTCCATTTCTAACTACGTTCCGATCCTCACAGAATTATCCCAGATGACTTTCGAATGTTTTTTCCTCCCTAACGAAACGTTGCGGTCCGCTGGTGAATGCGATTGATTTCTTTTCGATTTTCCCTCCAAAATCCATATATCCGTTTCAAGAATCAGAAATCCTCGAAATCCCGGAGTGCTTCGCTGTGTCCAGAACCACGGAATGAGAACTTATGGAATGTCAAAGGTTACCATACGTTACGAGCGGCTCGAAGACTGGTTCGAAACCGGGAAATTTCACGCTACATTATTGGAATGCATCGCGCGCATCGGAACACGACTCATTCAGAGAATGTCCCGAGTCCCGAGTTCAGACCCGCGGATTTTCGTAACATTAGCAGAAATCATCTAGGAATGAAAACAACTCCCATTTTCCTCAATGCTTCCTTCGCATGTATTCGCACGCAACCTCTGGCAATTCCGCACACAACGAACTACATTTACAGATGGACTAAATATCGAATTTTATACCGCGTCTCAACTCCTCATGCTCGAGCGGACACGAGTCTTTGTCGAACTCGAACGAAGGTTTCTCCCCGGGCTCAGCCACTCGTTTTCCGTCCATCTCTTGCGCAGGATACGAGCATGGAAGCTTCGTGTTCGGATCGAAGGTTTCTCCTCGGCTCTCCGCGTCTCTCTTGATGAGCATTTTCAGAAGAGGTGAGCACTCCATCTCTCTCGGAAGAATCGTAATGACGGGATCTTTGATCACAGCGGCGAAGTATTTCTCTTCATCCTCCTTGTGCACGAGCCGGAAGTCTGGCAGGTGGCTCTTGATCACACTGACTCCTTTATCGACGCCGCGAAAATACGTTTGAGCATGCACATCGCCCCAGATCAGGTCCGGGTCCATCGCTGGTTTGACTTTTTTCACGATGTAGAATGTCGGGACCTCCTCGTTCGCGTAGATGCCACGGACAAACATTCGACCGACTCCGAAGTCTTTCAGATTCGCGAGAATCTTCATCAGGTGTTTTCCATATAGCTTCGAAGGGTGCCCGATGTACTGTATGCGAACCATTGCGTTGGTTTTCCGATGAGCCTCACCGACCGCGCACAATAACACTTCGATCGTACGGTGGTGCAGCCGGTGCTGTTTATTTACACACATGTTGGGAAACAACACAGAGCGTAGCAGACGACGCTATGAAAAGATAGACCGCGAGCCGCGCGCGCGCTCACAGCCGGAGGAAGAGACCGGGACCGGGTAATCGCCGATGAGATAGACTCCAATTTCTCCAAACACTGATTAGCAAGAGAGGAGACGAGGGTGAATATCATATTCGCAATAAATTCAGGAAACCCGACGCTGAAAGTAGCATGCGATACACGATGGGTGCTCCTCACTCAGAACGAATACCTAATCGGGGTTTGCCGCGTTTCATCGGGACTAGCCGTAAAGTATAGACGGACTACGGGTGAGATCATTGGGCTCCGGTTCCGCCTGAAGTCCGTCCTGAAGGTGTCGAAGTCGGGAATGGAAAATGCGTGACGTAGTATCTCCTTCCGAATCCGCTACTGTGACCTCGAGGGGAAATGTCGATTCGATTTCTACTCAACCAAGTGTCTGCATCGTACCGTCGAGCTCTCCGCCGAGATCTCATAGAGTGATGGGGAGCCAGGAAGTATGGAGCCTACTAGGCTGAACTGAACCCAGACGTCTGCTCATTCCGCTGCCTTTTCAGCGGCGATTTGAAGGGCTGACAATTTGCTTTAGCTTTTCCGTCACGTCCGTAGTCACTGATATCTTCTCATCTGATCGACCGAGTGAGATGAGGATCTTGAAATCTGCCGTGAAAATTGAAGGGAACAGAACGACGGAGATTTTTCTGGCTCGGCTGTCAGACAACGACTAGATGTCATTCGCTGATGGTTAACAAAAGTAATTTGCTTCGACCTTGGCTCGAGCTGACCGAGAGTAGCGGATCTATGTAAGGTCTCGTCAAATCGCGTACTCAGCTTATCTCACTCGGATCACTCGTCGTCCGGCCGCTACTGAAAGAGCTTGGGGAAAAGACAACCGTACTTCCCCGAGACGACCGAGGAAGGAACTGGGTCCGTGAAAGATCACATCGGTCTTGTCGTGGTTTGCCTGGAAGTACGGCAGAAACTCATTTCCTCGTCGTGCCTCACGATGAATACTAGGGTCGTTGTTGAATTTCTGTGTTGCTACAGCTGCGCGGACTGCTCCTGTAACCGACGACCGCTGACGGTTGCTGAAGTTATTTCGTTGGTGGTTCTCACAGGTTTCTGTACGGATTCGGTCGAACGAATTCCAAAAACTGCTGTCGCTGGACGCAGCGGCCATTCCGAACGATGACCAATCCATTACCCAAAAGTGTTCAATTTATTGCTTCAATAGTCATCCTGCCCCGTGGGCGGGCTATTAATTCGATAGCTGAATTTTTTCTGGAAATGCTTCATCGGCTGGAATTACGATTCCGACGGGAAGCATATGCTGAATGGAACACGAAAAGAAAGCCACGAGGAGCGCACAATGTGCACTCATGGGCAACCGCACGATTTGTTAACAGTATTGTAAGCACGCGAGTTTCCAACGGAATTTTGCGTCATCAGCGACGTTACTAATTTCTGTTGTTGTTATGTTTTCCGTTTTTTCGTCTTCCTTTCTTCTTTTCTATTGTGCAGTCACACATGCTTACAACACAAAAGAAGAATTATTTGCGAGTGAACGGATCCTCCCTTCCGGTTTCCTCGCTCGACCGAATGTATGCCAGCCCATCGTCAACGCAACGGCCAGAAAAAAAACGGAATTTACGTACACTGGGCAGGGGAGAAAAAACCCGAGAAGGACTCATGAGGCAACGAGCTTGTCTTCGCTACAATTTCGGGTCGGGTCTTCCCAGAGATCGTTCCCGGGGACATTCCATTCATCGCGCTGCATGCGGTTGGGAAATGCGGTAGATTCAGAAAATGGTCTGGTTCGAGTCTTGAAGCCGAGCATGCTCCGGGGGGAGAAGATGCCACTGAGCGAGAAACCTTCGCAGTCTAATCTGCATCATCATCATTCTTGGTAATCGGTTGGCTTACCACAGAATTTCAGAAATCGCGGCAGAGATGAAGAGTAGGGATCCTCTGCTGTGAATTTCATTGACTCAGAGCTTCGCGAGCTATAGTGGACCCCGCGAGGCGTGCAGGTGCTCAGGATGACATCATATCTGATGCATATATGCAGCAGGAAGGTCGCAACTTCGGCACGTTCAGTGATGGCGTGAACGCACCGGCTTATCTAATAAGGGGCCCTGTGGTGACATAGCTCACATCAGGGAGAAGAAAAAGATCGCCTAAACTTGCATAATTGATGAGTCCTCTTAATTGTCCCACCCTGATCAGTGTCCCGATCCAGTGCCGATAGAGCTGCTCTCCTTCTCTGGGAACATCGCGATTCCTTCGAATGTTGCTTCATTGAGATTCTCTTACGTTCAAGCTTCTGTTTGGGGTGGCGCTCCTGTTCTTCGTGATAGTACCGACATATTATCGGTTTCGTCATCATATTGTCTTCCTGACCCTAGCTTTTTCTCCAGAGCGTTCATTTTCGCTGATCCGCGCGCCTCGATCCAAGTAGGTGAAGCTTCTGCGGAGAGCTGAAAATCTCACCGTTCCTTTACGGAGACGGCGATAATCCAACTCGTCGCGTCGACTCAAAATATACAGTCAGAGCGATAGACTGAGCTGAAAATCATTCAATCAGACCCAGTCGATGAAGCAGGAGAGAATAAACGGCAGAACCGGTGCAAAAAGCAATGTCCCCGATAACTGCGACGGCATGGGCAATCGTTCAGCAACCGATCAGATCAGTTCGCCATCGATCCGATCATAGGAGGTCTGGAAATTCCCACGAATTTTCCTCGGAATCACGAGCTCCTTTTGCCAGTCTAGTGGGCTTTCTCGTCGAATACCGCGCGACGAACACGAGTTTCTTCTTTTGGTGTCGTCTCGTCGTTCGAACACGTCAAGCTCGACGTAATTTCGCTCCGGGCTCGGTTAGTGTTCTATCGAGAGGAATCTGGGGCGGACGGGCGAAAATTAGCGGCGTCTACGACAGAACGATGATCGACCAACCGACAGAAGCGCGACCATTATTTCTCAGCTCGCAATGAAATGATGAACTTGATTTTGATCGTGATGATCCACTGTCGTTCCACTCCCTGTTCGAGTTCATGAGTCAGCCAGGAGCATCTTCTGTGTCCTGGCTCGCAGCGCCGGCCTCCTGGCGCGGACGACCATTCCCCGGAATCGAATTTTGATTGACGAAGGAACCGAGCCCAATCCCGAGTTCCACGAAAAATTTCGTATCATTCCAGCTGATAATGAGGATCACGGAGGCTTTTCAGCCTAGGGAACCGAAGGTCGCATTTCAAGAACTTGGTTGAGAATATTTTCCTCTCGGATATCTCACGAGCGAGGCTTCCTCACTCGGAACGGCCACTCATTTACGGGAGCCACACCCGCAGCGATTTCCTTAATCAACGGACTCATTCCACCATTCAGTGATGAAGGAAACAGTTGGCGTACTGTTCTGGGCTCTATGGCACCTTGGCTTCAGCGCTCTGATGGTTCTCACGACGTCCATGACGAGACCTCAGCGCGGAAAGACGTAACAGAGACTCCTTTACGCGGATAATTCATCAATCAAGGCATAGAATGGACTAAGTCTCGCTAACCACTTGGCAAGCTCTGTCGTACCCTTGGACAAATGCTCCAGCCGAACTAACCACTCGAGAAAATGTATGTCCACGTCTCCAGGATCATTATAATCGAGTTGAAACCGCGCTCTGCGTATCTGGATCGCCAGGGAGGACCATTCATGAAGACTCGTCATTACGAAGTCGACACGTTATTTCTGTGGAACTCACGTTGCCAAGCAAGGCGCGCCGAAGCTCACCTCCACGTAATGACATAAACTATTAACGGAATTTCCTTTCTTGAGGCTGGAATAGCGTATCATTTCAGGGGTATTCCCTCGCTTCTTTTGGCGAGTGGTCTCCGATTCTACGTTTCATTGTACATATTTATATCTTGGCTGATTCGCTTTTCAGAATGCAAGGTCAGCGAGGGAGGTGTGTCGTGCCGAGAAATTCGCAATAGCCAGCGATTCGAGTTTCGGGAGCTCTGAGGATGTCGTCGACAACGTGTCACTTTTCTCTGCAATTGGCGAGGAAAAAGAATGAAATCATTCTCGGGCGTCCGACTTTTTCAGATCCGGGTCTCGTATCAGCTGGTTTTGCGGAGTGAAATATACGCGGGTAGGTTGTACTTTCGCTCGGGGTCGGACTGCAATGAATACTCGTGAATAAAAATTCTCGAGTGATTTTTGCAGAATTAACGATGTTTATTTTTTTTCTTCGAGAATATCAGAGCCTTAATCGTGATGATGTGATCGAAAACAGTCGGACCGACATAGCGATTAGAGTAAAACGATAATGTTTTCGAACGGAAATCCAGATTTTCCAATGCTCGAGCAAGACTTACTCCCGATTCTAACGCTTACAAGCCAATAAAATCTTACAAAAATTATCGCGGAATGTTCTTCGCAGATAAGGAGAAGTGTCAAGAAAACGATAGAGCTTGTTCCTTATCTATATCGAAGGGTTTTCACAATCGAATTTGACCTACTGTCTGTCTGCCATGGATGATTTTCGATTCGTTGGCTCAAAGTTCCGCACTCGATCGGGAAACTAATACGGATTGACATAGCTCTGTCGAGAGCCTCCAGAGTTTCCATCAAACCACTCCGTCCGGAATCCGGGAAATGAGACCTGCAGATCCCGAAGCAATCGTCAAATCGCCACAAACTGGAGATTGTCAGAGAACTCGACTTGAGCGAGAGGCCCACTTCGGGAAACGGATGTTTCTGATCTGACGTTGATCGAGGTAACTTCAAGGGAAAATAATCAACTCGAGGAGGGCGGCTGAGAGATCTCGGGGAACTCCCGAGCCCCGGCGCACAGATGAGAGGATGAACTCCCGAGAGTCGAGACGCATCCAATCTGGCGTCCATCTTGGCCGTCTCCGATTGGAATCTCATTCCGAACGCTCCGGCAGACAAGGGTCAGATCCGAGAAGAGCTCGGTTCATCAGAAAGACAGGTTGTGGATTCTCCTCAGATCGACCCGACTTTGATACAGTGGGATTTGACATTGATACTTCTGTCCATTCGAATTTTCCCTTTCGTTCACGGACTCCACCGAAGAACTTCATGCCGCTGCGATTCTCGTTGCTCTTGTCGCTCGAGATAGCTTGGCTAATGCCTCAATTGATACTGGTCGAATCGTCATTGTTGCTGTTTTCATTGTGCGCCTTTTCACTGGCTTCGGTGGCCGCGCTGCCCGCTCGCAATCACCGACGCCGAGCGACAGCTGACTTTTTCCGTTTCTTTCCTATTCTTGTAAATCTCTTACAGATCAAGACATCATCTGAAGATGAGCGGAGATGTATCAGACTCACCATCCTACGCACGGACGAACCGCCGATTGTTCTCGTGTCAAATGACGCTATGGAGACTTTTGCGCTTTTCTGTGGAACAGCTAACGTTTGATCGTACGCTCGGATCTAAAGAACGGTTCCTGCTGCTACATAGCCAACATTCTTTAGTTATCCGGTCGATCGCTCTGTAATCGCTTCTTGGACAGGCCTTATATGATTAGAATGAAATTCACCGTTCTCGCATAGAGCTCGAGACACTCCGGATTGCCGGCGCGTTATTGATCCGATGGCAGAAGAAGTGGAACTGATTGCTATGCAAATGTTTCGCCCGCGCGAGTGGACTTGCCAATATTGGCTCAAGATTCCGCTGATCGAATATTGGCGAATGCGGAGTCAGGGCGAGGTCCCAGAATACGACAAAGAACTTCTTTCCGTCAATTGATGCACAAATTACGAATTCAGCCGAGAAAGGCCATATAGTTCTAAAGTTGGAGAAAACTCGAAGATGTGATAAGAGCCCGTCGTAGATGTTCGCGATTGTGAGTGAGCTCCGTTTTGTCAACGGTTCCCGCAGAATGACTGAGACAAGCTTGGGCGGGAGGACAAACGCGACCTCCGAGGTGCGCGAACGCGAAGAACTCCGCCGAAGGAACAACGAAACGACCTCGATTCACCTCGAAGCGATTCGGACGAAGTCCGGTGGTCAGTATCCTTCTGTACGAAATCGATTCGCCACATTTTTTGCGTATCTGACAGCTTTTCACACGTGGCCCGACTTTTCTGGAAAGTACGAAAAAATGAGCCAGCCGGCCAAACAGTCAAATCAGTCTCCGAAAACACCGATTTTGCCATTCTCAGATAAACATCCAGCTCCTTGAGCTTTTTTTTCAGATCTTTGGAAACCAGAAGGTTCTTCTCGCCATGCATTTCGGGGGGAGGTCGGGATTCATTCTGTGCCGTACGCCGCTATATGATTTAATGAAAGCTTTCGTAATTAGAGCTTTCACCCTCAGCGATCGGAACGTTCAAGTGAATTGATAGAAATGTCCGTAGAGCGGAAAATTGAAGGTACTCTACGAAGAATGAAATGACAAATTATAGGTCGCACGATACTGTCGGGCGAACTTTTGAATATGCCGTCTTTGTGTAAATAGAGCGCCGGCGCCTTCGCTTCTGGAGTTCGGAGCGCTCAATGAATTCTTAAATCTAACAGACCCCTCGCGCTTTGCTATTCATCTATCGGATACGCAGCTTACGAAGGTGACAGACATTCACTCGAGCGAAGGGACCGAGTCGGAGATAGACAATGGAAGCAATTTCGTACAGTGAACGCTTTCGTTTAGGCAGAACCGAGACGGTGAACAAACGAAAACAGAAATAAGCTGTAAAGAGGGAGGAAGGAAGTCATTGAAGACTGCAAATCACTGTGCGAGCAATCCGCTGGAACCAGTCGCGGTCGCTTCAGTTTTCTGACGCGCGATCATCGCAGCGATGATGATGTCAATCATGATTCTGAGGATGATAGCTTCTGCTTCCCAGGTATGAAGGGCGATAATCCTAAACGCGCTTCCTTCTCGCCGTCGACGGCGGGGCAACGTTAGTTTTGCGCATGAAACTCGCGTTCGAAGTCGGCTCCTTTCAAGTCCGACGAGTACTTCGTCAGGCGCAAGTGCACTCCTCAGGCTCAGGCTCGTCGGCTTCCGGTCAGAACCCCGCCTCGAGAACTTGACCCATCGCGGATTTCGAGAATGCGGAGATAGAAGTAAGCTGCGCACTCGTTGTGATTCGTCGTGCCCCAATCTGAGGGAAAAACTTGGACCTCTCGAGGTCGAGAGCTTTTAGCACAAATACGCTGAGTTAATGTGTTCCACTCGTAACAAGACGATTTTTTCGCCTGACTTCGGTTCGTTCTTGACTGATTTGCATAGCGAACAATTTTCGGAACAATCAGTTCCAATTTCTCATTTTTTGTGCGTTTTTTGTTACAATCAGCATCTGTTTTTTTTGCCCGGGCTGACTGCCTCCCACCAAGGGTCTTCGCGCGCCGACTTCGCCCTCTAAGACTTCCCCGAACGACGGAGCTCTGAACGAGGTGACGCACTCTCGTTCCTAAATTCCCGTCCCGCGAATCTAAAGTGAGTCGACGCTCATTAATTCTTCCCCATCCATCTCCTAGTGTGGCGGATACCGATCGAGAAATAAACGTTCAATAAAAGTCGGGTCGTCGGGCCAACAGCGTGGGTCGGAAAACATGGGACGGACAGCCACGGGTGGCGACGTGCACGCAACCAACAGGTAGCGCACCACTGGCAGCCGTCGCTGAGAGCAGAGCGAAGCCGAACCCACGTGGCTTGACGACCGCGGTCTCCGAGAATCTGGTGTATTTCCTTGGGGCACCCGCGATCGAAAGGGGTTCGCGACATGGTGGCAGCGTAAGCAAGAACAAGGGCCAAGTAGCGGCATTCTCCGAGATTCCAGACCGGCAGTGCGAAGGAGCCGACTTCGGATAGCGGAGAACTGACCCAGAATCGGTTCCCAGCGATAGTGTTCGTACTGTTCGTAGGGCGGCGAAGCAACAACCGAGGGCAGCAGCTGACGGAGAATTTTTTCCGCAAGTTCAGCCCCGCCGGGAACCTCACACGAAGAGACTCATCACGGTACCTACCGAGAGCTCGGAATAGACGGGGTAGCTCAGCGGCCTCTGGCATCAACTTAGAAGAGCGACTTGAGGCTCGAATTCGGTCCGGAGCGACCAGCTTGATACAGTGAGATAAACAGGGACACCTGGAGTGGCGAAATCAGTGCAGTGAAAGCGAACTTCGGGTGCAACACAACGACTCAGAGTGCTTCTGGATGGCGCAGGCCCAGGAAGACCTCGAGGCGTCCTTGACCGTCGCGGCGTCCGAGAGACCCCTAGCCACACAGCAGGAGAAAACTCTCCTAAGTGACCATCTTGCCATCCGAAGGAAACTGAGGACGAGATTTACGAGAAAGCTCCACGAGTTAGAAGAGGCTTTGAAAACTATTGAGAACCGCGCGTCACGCAGATCAAAGGTGGACCGCGAGTGGTTGCTAGTGGACGAGATATTCGAGCAACTAAAGGAAGAAAATAAAATCATCACCCCACTCTTGCTCAAGTGCGCCCCCGAGCAGTTCGAGGCGGCAGCTGAACGAGCCTTCGACTATGAGGACGCGTATTTCCGTGTGTACTTCGACGTGAAAGCGCTCCGAGCAGAAGAGACACGGTCGGCAGAAGAACAGAAGGTGACAGATTTATCCACCTCGTTTGCCAAGCTCGGGAACTTCAACAAACACTTCAAGATTCCGAAATTTTCCGGGGACTATAGGAAATTTCGTGAATGGTGGCAGATCTTCGATGCTCACGTGCACAAGAAGACGCTGGATCCGGTGGAAAAGTATTCGTATCTGAAACAATCGCTTGTGGGACCGGCGGCTGCGGAGATCGCGCATCTCGAGTTTTCCGCCGATCAATACCAAGTGGCAATGGACACAATCGAGGCGAAGTTTGGAGCTCCGAAGGATGCCGAGAAGGAACACGTACAACAACTCCAGAGACTGTTCCAGGCCCGGGATCTTCACATAAACGATAAGCTTTTCAAATTCATTAGTTCGTTGTCCCAAAACGTGAAGGCACTGATAGCGCTGGGAAAGACATACGAGTCTTTATCCACGATGGTGACCCCGAACGTGCTCAACGCACTGCCGGTACAAATGAGAGAAAGTTTCAGTAGGAAGAACTTCGAGAATCTCGCCAAAGCGGATGCGGACAACGAATTAAAACTCCTTTTGGAATATTTGGATAGAGAAGCGGCGATCAAAAGAGCATGTCAAACTCTTGACCCGCAAACAGATACCAATGCTAGAGGGGCGAGCTATGGCAGGGGATTCGTAAATAATCCCGGAAACTACCAAGGCGCCAGGGCTCGCCATAATAGTTATCGGCCAGGTAGGGACAGCGTGGCTTTTCTCGCAAAGGATTCCGAGGTAGACCATTCCTGCCTTTTCTGCGCAGGCACGAAACACGAGAGTAAAGCCTGCAAGAAGCCCTTGTCGGTGAAAGAGAGGAGGGAGGTTTGCGAGAGGAGCAACGCCTGTTTCAAATGCCTGCATAGGAATCATCATGCCAAGAATTGTAGGGTCAGAAATGTGAAGTGCGACGTTTGTGGGAGAGCTCACTATCCAATAATTTGCGAGAAGAGAGAGGCTGATGGGGAAAAGGTGAAGGCTTTCTCAGCGACAGTCGCTTCAGGCACGGTAGACTCGACATCGAATGAGATCAAATACTTCCAAACCGGCCTAGTCTGGGTGCTCGGTCGGTACCGTAAGAAGGTTTTCAGATTCATTCTGGATTCCGGCGCTGAGCGCTCATACGTCTCGCGGAAGGTAACCCAGGCTCTGGCTCTGGACCCTATCGGCAGGGAGAACCTCGCGACACTCACGATAGGCGGAGAAATTTCGGACTACAAGAATCACGATGTGTATCATCTAAGGTTACGGGGCAGATTCAATAGCACGAGTACGGTTGCGATCCCAGCGGTAGAAGTTCCTGAGATAGCAAAGGGCGAGTTCCCAATCATGCGGGACGGTCGTGGTCTTTTCCCGTTGGCTGATCACGGCGGCTCGCTAGAGACGTCAACGGTCGACATTCTTGTCGGGCAGGACGCTTTGGCGAGCTTGCTTAAAGGCGAAGAGCGGATCTTTGACAATAAGGTCGTGGCAACGAGTACCATTTTCGGCTGGGTCCTCTCTGGAAGGGGAGAGCCTGAGGGCGAGCTACACCAGGAGCAAATGGTTTTTCTGGCATCTAGTCGGTTCCAACCGGGCACAAGGTTAAAATACCTCCGAGACCATAAATCTTTCCACGTTGATTAATCGACGGGAAGATGTGGAATATGTTCAGGTCACGGAGGGTCCTCTGATGAGTGTGAGATCGAACAGGAGAGCGGGGTCGGAATTAAATTTGGATACGGATTTGCAACTGCTTTGGTCGACGGACATTCTCGGTATCGAACCGCAGTCAGATACCGTAGACTCGACAGCAGAGGCAGAGCTCGAGAAGTTTTTCAAAAACAACATCCAGCGGTTAAACGAAAACCGATACATGGTAAGCCTGCCTTTCAACGACAAGTTGAGATTCCTGGGTGATAACGAAAATATAGCTAGAGGCAGCCTCAGTCGGTTTCTGCGGAAGGCACGCGACAAGAAAGATCTTCTCCGATCAGTGGACGAGGAAATTCAGAAATATGTCCAGATGGGCTACGCTGAGCCAGCGACTCCAAAGAAACCCGGAGAACTCGTCCATTATTTGCCGATTCTCCCGGTAATAAAGAGAACAGCGACTGGTCAAATCGCGAAAGTACGCGTTGTGAAGGATGCAGGCGCACGTAGAAAGGATGAAGCAGCCCTGAACGATGTCTTACATTGCGGCGCCAATTTGCTGCCTGACATTATCAAGGTGCTCCTCAGATTTCGAAAACAGGAAATCGCGATCGTCGCAGACATCCAAAAGGCATTTTTACAATACAAGATCCACCCTGATCATCGAACTTTCCTCCGCTTCTTTTGGCCAATCGGCGTATCGGAGAACCCGCACGCGCCTATTAAGGAGTTATGGAGTACGGTGCTGGATTTCGGTATCGTGTCCAGCCCTTTCATACATTGCGCAGGTCTGAAATACCACATTCGGCAGCTGAAGCGAGACCACCCAGAGAAAGCTGACTTGCTAGAGGACATCGAGAATCATTTCTACGTTGACGATCTCGTAACCAGCGCAGACTCAGCGCAATCAGGTCTCGAAATTTGTCGGTTTATGTTGGACTTCGTTCAACGAGGGAGGTTTTAGGCTCCAGAGGTGGGCTACCAACAGCGCTGAGTTGGGCAGACGCATGGAGGCGACGGCAGAAATAGAGGGCTTGCAAGTGAACTACGGGCAAACGGATTTCAGGTTCCTCGGCTTGGGCTGGGACCTGGGGTCCGACCAGCTCCACATACCGGTACAAGCGGCTGTGTCCACTCTGCGAGCGAATCAACCCACGAAGCGCACGCTGTTGAAAGGTACCGCGCAGGTTTTCGATCCCTTGGGACTGATCGCTCCGATCACGATAAAGGCGAAGACGTTGATACAGAGGTTATGGATTGCGAAGCGATCTTGGGACGAGCCCCTCGGCGGCGAAGAGTTAGAAGCGTTTTCGGACTTCGTTAGCGTTCTCGAGCAGGTGAACAGAGTGCGAGTCGACAGAAACACGCTCTCTTCTCCGTCGGCTCCACGGCGAACCGAGTTACATGCGTTCTGTGACGCTTCTCTAGCAGCTTACGGAGTAGTGGTATACATTCGGGAGGTCTCGGATCAGAGGGCCCGAAGTCGCATGGTTAGCAGCCAAGGCGAGGGTGGCACCACTAAGAGCAGAATTCACCATTCATAGGTTAGAATTGATCAGCGCAGTGTTGGCGGCGAGACTCGTGCAGAGGGTCCGGGAGTACTTCAATTATCATTTCGACTCAATCTTTTTTTGGTCGGACAACTCGCCCACACTGCATTGGATAAGAGACGCTCCAAGTAGATGGAAACCCTTCGTGGCGAATCGCATAAGGGAAATTCAGTCGCTCTCAGATCCCTCGGCCTGGAATTATGTAGCCTCCGCGGATAATCCGGCAGATCTGCTGAGCAGAGGCGTCTCGGTCACCGAGGGAGAGGCGATGGACATGTGGCTGAGAGGTCCTCCTTGGCTCTCCAGGAACGGGCGCCCGGAAAAACCCCATCAATTGAACGAGTTGTTCGACAATGAACTCAAGGTCGAGAGCGAAAAATCGAGATCGGCATGCCTCTCTGCTCGGGCAGCAGCGTCGGAGGTTGACGTCTTCCAGAATTGTGATCGAGTGTCATCGTGGTCTGTGGTTGTCAACAGTACGGCGCGGATATTGAGATGGCTCGCGATCGTGAGAGGCGCTCGTGAGCGAGCAGCGTCAGGCGCACCCGTATCCACAGCCGAAGCCATGAAGGCAGAGGAGGCTATTATCAAGTCGATACAAAAACGCCACTTCGATTTAGAGATCAATTCAAATTGTAAAGAGGTTCCGAAGGAGAGCAAGTTGTTCAATTTGGCTCCGTTCCTCGACGATAGAGGCTTGCTTCGCAGCCGCTCAAGGCTAGAGCGCGCGGAGCATTTGTCCTTCGACGACAAATTTCCTATCGTACTTCCAGGGAATGATAATGCAGTGCGCTTGCTGATCCGTTTCTTTCACGAAAAGCGACTATATCATGTCGGCGGCGTAGCTTTCACCCTCAATGCTCTAAGACGGAAGTTTTACATCCTATCGGCAAGACGCACAACCAGGAGTGTCCTCAGGGACTGTAAGATCTGTATGCGGTTTCGTGTAGAAGCAGCCAGGGAACCGGTACCCCACTCCCGATTTCCGCATGGACACTGCCCCAGCTTTTTCCGCTACAGGTGTCGATCATGCGGGACCCATTCCCTTCAGGAATGCGATGAATGAAGTCTGCAAAGGCTACATTTTGCTATTCGTTTGTTCAGCGACTAGAGCCGTCCACCTAGAGCTGGTACCGGATATGTCCACGGAGCAGTTTCTGTTGTCGCTAAGAAAGTTTCTGAACCGATTCCGCTCCACTACCAAAATCATATCCGATAACGGTAGGTCTTTTGTGCGCGCCGCGAAAGAGCTAAAAATATTATTCGACCATGCGAGAGCGCCTCGGGTACAACAACATCTGGTCAATCAATCCATAACGTGGGAGTTTATCACGGCGAGAGCTCCGTGGCAAGGCGGATGGTACGAGAGGATGGTCCAGACCATAAAGCGCCCTTTGAGGAGAATTCTGGGCAAGAATACACTCTCTTTCAGAGAGCTGGAGGTTGTCCTTTCAGACGTGGAAGCACTGGTGAACGAAAGACCATTAACGGCGATACAGACCGATCCGAACGAGATTAGAGCCCTTAGCCCAGCCGAACTGGTGTCAGCGAATAATCTCCGAGTGCCGCTTCCAGAGGTGGAATGCGAGCCGAAGGACCCGTCGGCTTACAAGTCATTGGTGCTTTCCAAAAGATGGATGTACTACCAGTCGATCATGAAAAGTTTCCGCAAAAGATTCAAAGAGGAGTATTTACAATATCTTCGCTCAGCACATCTTCGCACACCAGTGACCAGGAGATCTTTGCAGCCGGGCGACATTTGCTTACTGAAAGACTCAGACACGTCGCGGAATCACTGGCCGCTCTGTAGAGTTCTGAGCCTTTCGGGGGGGGAGAGGTCAGACCGCCTCAAACGATCCTGTCTCATCAAACTCGCAACCGGTCAAACTTATAGCCGACCGATTCAACTCCTCTATCCGTTGGAGGTCTAAGCTAGCGATTTCCGCATTCGTCGCACTTAGGTAAATCGTAGTCGGTAGAACACAGACAGCCAACGTAAATTACGGTTCATCGAGGTCCGAATCAGAATGTAAAAGTCACTTGTTATATCCTATATAATATATAATATATTCCGGACGTTCGACTGAATCCGTAATTTGGCGGGAGTGTGGCGGATACCGATCGAGAAATAAACGTTCAATAAAAGTCGGGTCGTCGGGCCAACAGCGTGGGTCGGAAAACATGGGACGGACAGCCACGGGTGGCGACGTGCACGCAACCAACAGGTAGCGCACCACTGGCAGCCGTCGCTGAGAGCAGAGCGAAGCCGAACCCACGTGGCTTGACGACCGCGGTCTCCGAGAATCTGGTGTATTTCC